TCCTCGAAAGTTCCAGAAGCCTTCTTCCATTATGATACACACACACACATATATATATATATATACATATCGTCGATAGCCTCTGGACTCTACCAACTACCACTCTTCAATTTACAGATAGTTACTTCCTCTACAACTTTACCTTTTAACTTAAAAGGAAACCACTTTCAAATCAAAGGATTCCTTTTGCAAGATGCCAAAAAACATTCTCTTCAATCATTCATCTTCTTAGGCCCAATTTACCATTTTTTTACATTCTTTAATAGTAAATTTTAATAAATAAAATTTCACTATAATAAAATTTGGAATCAGTTTAGTCAAATTTCCACAGATAATTAGAATTCTTTACTAATTTAAACTGTTAAATCTGTTTTACCGATAAGATTTTACATTTTGGTGGGAATTTTACTAGTGATTAAGTTGCAAGTGTACATATATAGAATAAAATTACAAAATGTGAACCAGTATTTGTTCAAGTATATATGGGAAAATTTTTCATCTGTATATATGTAAATATTCTATATTGGCTGGCATTAATGTTATGGTTATTATAATTTTATACTTTTATCTCGCAAATCTCAGCTCATTATATACTTTTTATGTATTTTCTTTCATCAATATGCGCAAGTTGATTTTGCCCTAGCATAAACTGTTCTTGATCGATAAATGTGACAAGCGCTATTGAATAAATATACTTCCTTGAATAAAGATTACTCTTGTATAACTATTTTCCAATCCATCGACATAAACGATGATTGCCTTTTCCTTTAAGAGAGAATGTTAATTTATTTTCAATCCACATAGAAAAATAAATATATATACCCGAATAGCACAACATTATAGCCACAATATATTGCATCAATATTACAATGAAAGATATTGCGAATATTGCACGGCAAACATTGAAGCAATATTCCCGCAGGAGGGACATAATCAATGTTCCAGTGCAATATTCGCAATATTGTAATCATATATGTGCCCTTTAGGTATAACAATTTAAAAATTTTTAATTTAGATTTTTTAATTTTCTATAATTTAGAAAAACGATTCAAAAATAAATTTCGTTTCTCCCTAATTCATAATTTATTGAGCAAAAAAAAAAAAGAGACCAATTTATGTACGACAGATCTCATATACATAAAATCAAGTTTATAATTTATCATTCGCTCAGCAGGTGGACGGGATAAAGTATAAATATTGAAAATTACGATTTTCATCAGTCACTCTGAATGGTAATGAAGCAAGATTGTAACAAATGACTATACGCGCGAGGTTTCTAATTTTATTAGTCGCGTCGTATGACTGGATTTTCGCGCGCAAAATCTTTGTGTATATGTATATGTAGACGACGTTTTCTTCACGTGCACGAGAAGAAGGATGCGACGTAATTTTCGTTGCTTTATACGAGGGTGCCATGACGTTACCTCGCGGGCATCCATTAATTAAAGCTTCAAAGTCGAGTCAACCGACATCACAGAAAGAGTGAGTGAGAGAGAGAGAGAGAGAGAGAGCACCCTCGCCCTCGTCGCGGATAGCCAAAAGATCAACGGCTGGACTTTATTAACATGACATAACTCTACTTTCCGTTCCACTTCCTCCAACTACCAGACCGTAATCTTCGACTTTTCTCTTTCAAAGTGTTCCAAAAAATAAATACATACCACTAAATTGGCTTTTTTTGGTATTTATTTACTTATTCTTATATATTAAAATATATTTTTAAAAAATTTAGTCATTTTTCATTAAAAATTTAGTAAAAAAAAATATTACTAAATTAAATAGTAACCCAGGTGGAAAAGTTCCCGGTAGTGACTACCGGTAGTCATTACCACTCCCGCTCCTGGAATATTCACTACCGGTAGTCACGACCGGTAATTTTTTTTAGATTACCGGTAGGCACTAACGGTAATTTTTCCGGGACTACCGGTAGTCACTACCGGTAATTCTTCCGGTACTACCGGTAGTAACTACCGGTAATTTTTCCGGTACTACCAGTAGTCATTACCGGTAATTTTTCCGGGAATTACAATCAAAATTTATTATCAAATAACAAATTTTGATTGTAACTCCCGGAAAAATTACCGGTAGTCCTGGAAAAATTACCGATAGTGACTACCGGTAGTAACGAAAAAATTACCGATAGTGACTACCGGTAGTCCCGGAAAAATTACCGGTAGTGGCTACCGGTAGTCTAGGAAAAATTACCGGTAGTGACTACCGGTACTGAATATTCCGCTAGCGGTAATGACTACCGGGAACTTTTCCACCTGGGAATACAGTCAGAATTTCTCAAACGGATCAACTAAAATTAACAAATTCAAGTTGATTTTTTTACTCATATAGGTACTGTGATAAAAATAAGTTTCTATAAAACAAAAAAATTGTTTCAAAATGAAGCTGAAGTACGCAACGTTTATGATAAACGATTTTTAAAGAAATAATTTTTTAAAATGAAAAATTCTATAATTTTTTGCCTAAAAAATATTTCTGGTAGTTTTCATTAATCAAAAAATTATATATAAAAAAAAAATATTTTTTAGGCAAGAAATTGCAGAATTTTTCATTTTAAAAAATTATTTCTTTAAAAGTCGTTTATAATAAACGTTGCGTACTTCAGCTTCGTGCTTCAAATCAATTTCAATGAATATATAGAAAACATTGAAAAATAAAACAAGACATTTTTCACTAAGGAAATATAGAAGAAAAAAAAAAGAATTTCATATATAAAAACGCCCTAGAATCACAATAAGCTTATCTTTAATACATTTCAGCAACTAATTGCCCGCATTCTCAAGCGCATGGATATATAGAAAGTTATAATAATAACTATTGCAATCAAGAGATGATATTATACAGAGTCTGTAATTACGGTAGGACAAGATAAACTTGACTATACTCTGTCATTAAATATCTTATTCAAGTATAATACATATACTTGATAATAAAAAAATCAAAAAAAAAGAAAAAAATCTATCCACTAATGGAATCTTAATACTACGTCAATCTCGATTGCACCTCGGCTCAATTCAGTTATAAACTTGTTATTAAGGTAATTGACCTTTCAAGGACTTTTTGTCGCCCAAAAAGTTATTTATGAATTTTAAAATTCTTATTTTACAAATTGAAATACAAATTTCAATTTTGTATAATATTCAATAACTTGCTTTTACGATCGAACATTTCGATGGGAACTTATATCGACAATCAACTTTTGAAATAACTTCAAATACTCCATTCATTCCGAATTTTTTTTTTTTATAGAACAAAAGGAAATTCATAACTGTTTTTCTTCACTTTTTTATGAGTCTATTTTTTTTCTAAAAAAATTCATTAAAATTATTTACTATCAAGAACTGGGATTTTTAAATATGTAAATTTTTTTTCCATTTATAGGGATTTATGTATAAAAGTTCTTTTTTATGCTTTTCTTTATTATACTGTTTTGTTTTTAATTAAGAAATGTGCATTTTTTTTAAATATTTTTTTTTTAAAGCATTTTTATATTAACATAAATAGTAAATGATTTTGTGAACCGTTAGTGATAAAAACTCTTGCTTTTTTTTTTTTGTATATATCGATCGATTTCTTTTATAATTTCTCAAGGGAGTGTTTTATTCGAATGAATACGATGCGAAAGCACCGAGGGGGGGTTTTTTTTTTTTTTTTTTCAAAACATGGTTTCTAGGTCGTATGACGAGTTAATATAGCAACATTAATTAAGCAAGTCGCGTTAACGGTAATTAGTCGACGCTTCGCGAGAGGCGTCGTGTAGTTGCGTCGTTTAGATTTAGACGCCTGATTTCCCAGCATGAAAGCACGCAGCAGCCTTTTAAGTTTCACTTCAAGCGTATACCTTAAATTCAAAGCTATTTGTAGAGAGTTTCTCTGTTTCGAGGATAACAAATTTTTTACATTTTCCTTGTTTTTTATGCACAAAATAGAAAATCACAAACAAAAAAAGTCTTTATAAGAAGCACAGAAAAAAAAACCTATTAATTTTAGTATCGTACACTAACAACAATATAATTATTTTTCACATAAAAATTACTAATTATTCGTATATATAAATACACTAATTTAAAAGTATCAATTTGATACTTTTAAATTAATGTGAAGAAAATCTTTCTGGTATTATTGAAATATTAGAAAAAATAATTGTTATTCAAAATCACTTTGCAAAATGCTGCCAATGTAGAAAGCTGAAATTTTAAATTCTTTTTGAATAACTTGAAGTTTGTCGCTTATTCAATTCGATATCCACTACCCAATTAAAAATGTTACAAAAATAAGACCAAGTTTTTTCCGTGTAACAAGACTTAGTGAACAAAATAATGTTTTCAATTTTAAAAAAATAAATAAATAAATAAATATAAATAACATTGAAAAAAAAATGTAAATATTTTTATATGAGAACAAAACTATATTTGGGATACCACAGTTGACGAGGGTGGAAATGAATATCCAGTTGGTTTTGACATAACTTCCTCAAGGCATCATCAGAAGGGTCTGAGGTTGTCTGCAAACTTTGATTACATCTACCAAAACGATAGCCCTTTATCTACCCTTGCATAAATAAGAGCGGCAACTGCACACTGGATATTATAAAAGTTACACCGGGGCAAAAGTCAACCAAAATCTTCGATTCTACAATCTCATAAATTATTCAACATTTTTCTTCGCCAGTAGAAACTGAAGAGAGATTTATTCTCATTATATATAATATAATGTCTCATGACAATACTGTGCGCATGATATTTTAATATCTCAATATTTCAATATTGATATAATGTCAAAATGAAAAAAAAAAGATTTATTACAATTTTTAAGCTGCGCTTATTAAAAATGAAAACTAATTAAAAGTCACTTTTGATATTCAAGATAAATTGAAATTATTTCTATTATTAATATAAAATAGCAATGATAAATTATTTCATTCTTAACAATATAAGAATTCTTATATAGAAAATAATCTAATTGCTATATATTTTTTCTGATTTCAGAGACTTACAAGGGAACAATATTTCTGTTATTTTCAAAACCAATTTTGAAGACATGGCTACACTTCATGTTCTGTAAGTTCAAACAATATTATTAATTGTTTATTATTATTATTATTATTATTAATTAATTAATTATTATTATTTTTATTATTATTATTTTTTATCTAAATTGCATATAGACTTAAATTTTTATTAACCAATGGAATTTTACAATAATAAAAATTATTTTCTTTACAGACATTTATCTCACAATCAAATTCATACAATAGAACGAGGAGCATTTCAAGATTTAGTAGGAGTGGAGAAATTACGATTGAACAACAATCAAATCCGTTTTTTGCCTGATTTACTTTTCAGTAATATGATGAATCTCAAAAGGCTGTAAGTAACAAATAATTATTATATGCCAAGCAATATTATTCATTATTAAAAATTTATTTATCTTTCATTTCATATTTTTCATTCATACATTTTATAGATATTTATCTTTATACACTGAAAAAAAAAAAATTTATTTGATTCAAATAATCGTTTACTTGACTATTTTCAAATAAATATTTATTTGTATAAAATAATTTTTATTTGAATTAAATAAATTGTATTTGAACAATATCTAATCTTTTTTGAAACAAATACCATTTAATTGACACAAATAATTATTTAATACAAATAAATATTTATTTTGATAATAGTCAATTATTTGAATTAAATAAATTTTTATTCAGTGTATATAATAATATGTAAATATAAAAGAATATTTAAATCATTTGCTTTGCGGCTAAATAAATTGGGACCTCTCAGAAAAAACAGGATACAAAAAGCTAATATTCTACGTAACATTAAATTATATTTCTAATCTCATTACACTAAATTAATTTTCAACGAGTTACAATATATATTTCAAGAAATTCTTGGATATTATATGGACATGAAACATGTAATTTCAAGTCAACGGGGTGTTGCAATAAATTATTCCTATACAAATATAACTACTGCATACTGTAGAGTGTATATCGTATATATATATAGTAGATAGTGACTCTGCAGTCATAACCTTTTCATTCAGAAAAACATCGTTTTCTCCTTCTTAGATGTGTTTCTTATTTTACTGTTATACATTTCTTTTTTTTAAATTTTAACCAAGAGAATTTTATCCCAACACATATATGTGTATTCTTTTTAAATTTAATACTCCCTTGGTAGACGAGTGTAAAGGCGCACTGATAAAGAATAATTGCCATATGGCAATAAATAATATAAAAAATTAAATTATTATTTTTTCAAAGAAATTATTTACTCTCCTTCTTCTGAATTGTGATAAAAAATAAATTCAAATTGTAATCAATTAATTTGCCAATATTATTGTCATTTTTACATAGAATTTATAAATGAAATATTCCCCATATTTTAATTATGTACTTTTTTTGCGAGATTTAGAAATTTTATATTTATAATTTAATTAAAAATGTCAGAAAAGTTTTCAATACTCAAGAATTAATTATTGATCATATTTAAATAATTTATATAGCCATTAAAAATTTCTGTTATTCTTTATAAAACTCTCTCAAAGAGAGCTCTGTCGTTTTATGTTTTTAAATAAATAAATAAAACATTTGTGTATTTATAAAGTAATATGAATTTTTTTGCAACTTATTTGGAAAGAGAAAACATTCTATTAATAATTTTAAAATAAAAAAAATCTGGAACATTTTTCGTTGTTGAAAATTTTATTGATAATGTAATATTTATTTTTTAAAACCATTTTTTGTATTAATAATTATAACAACTATTAATATACAAAAAAACAGTTTTATCAATAAAAATATTTACATTTTTGTAAAATAAACATAAATGAAAAAAAAACAGTTCTTGGTCTAATTATTAATACAGAATTTAATAAAAAATTGTTGGCTTTCGTTGGAGAGGAATGTTTGTATAGATTTTAATTGTTATCCCATTCCTTGTTTTTCTTTTCGTTTGGCGAGTGCAACTGAGAGGAGACGACGACCCCTCTTCTTGTCTTATCATGACAGAGGACACTGTTAACTGGTGTCGAGGTGCTCAGCGTCGAAATTCGATAATTGCTTTCTGGATTGGGTTGAAAACTAGCTCTGGGAATTCAATCCACTAGTCTTGTGTTACTATAGTATATACTTGGAGGCTTGTGAAGGCAAAGACCAGTCATCTCTCTCTCTCTCTCTTCTATGGAATATAATTACAGATCCAGAGTTTAGAAGCAATAGATGCCCACCGATGAGCTAGTTCAGAGGCTCTCCCAGAATACAACCTATTATCAGAAATGTCTGATTAGACCTCATTCAAAAGACAAAGGATTCCAGTAAATCCTTGTCTCTTCTCTTGTCAGACAGGAAACTCTAATTAGAGTTTCTTCCTAACTCTCTCTCTTTATATATATATATAGTCAGGATCAGATGAACCTGAAAATAAGTTTATAATGAAAATGTTCATTAAACTCAATATCAAACAAATTAGTCTTTGAAATACTCGCGGGATAATAATGGAGCAACATTCCAAAAGATCAAAACAAAACTTTGAAAGGACCAAAACTTATATGAAAGTACTCAACTTTCGTTGAGAAAAGTTTTTAGAAATATGATCAATAAATAGGTTTCTCGTTTGATGACCTCTTGAAACTATTGAATAAACTGCATCTAAAGCCTCGCGCCACGTAATCTCTAGAAACGTTTACTTTATAATAAGTTCACTGCCCTGGTGAGGTATTTGAGCCTGTGAATAATTTATTTAAAAAAAAAAAAAAGTAGAACAAACTCACGACTGTCTTTACAGAACTAGATCGAACATCACTCATAACCATATACTTGATCCACTTCTTGACAAATCTCAATCTGCATACCTAATCCCCCAATAATTACTCAGAGAAAACTTGAATCTGCATTTTAGAATAAAAAAATTATTTTTTATCTCTGTCCTTTTTTTTGGAATTTTCAATGTGATTTTTTTTCCAGAGAACTCAATCATAATCAAATTGCTATGATTGGACCCAAGACGTTGAGAGGAATCTCGTCACTGAAACATTTGTAAGCATTGAACAATTTTTTTTAAAGAAAAAATAATTTTTTAAAATTTACTAATATTTTATAAAAATTATTCATCTTTTTGCAGAATTCTAGACGATAATATTCTCACATGCATTGACGAAGGAGCAATTCGAGAGTTGAAGGATTTGGAAATTTTGTAAGTTTATAGTTTTCGCTCTATAATATTAATCAAGTTTTTAACGTCCGAATAATGAATAAATAAAAACGAAGACTCTTTAATGAGTTTAAATGAAATTAAGGCAAATTCAAAACAAAATTGAATTTTTTCTTTTCAAGCTTTAATATAATATTCCTATAAAAAAATGACATTTAAACAAAAATAAAATATCTACTTTTTTCTATTTCTAGATCATTAAATAATAATAAATTAACGACACTTGGAAAAGAAATGCTGAATGGACTATCAAATTTACGTGCTTTGAGGGTTTCTGGAAATTCTTTGGTTTGCGATTGCCACTTGAGTTGGCTTTCACGACATCTTAGAAATTTTCCACGTCTCACACAGAACATGAAATGTTCCTCGCCCGCTCATCTTAGAGATCACAACCTTGGGGAATTACAGGTTCAGTATAAAAAAAAAATTTTTAAAACATAGATAAACTTTGCTTTTTCCTCTACAAGATATTCCATTATATTTCTGAATTTTTTTCAATTTTTTTTTTTTTTATATTTGAATAAATTAATTTTTGAATTTTTCTCCACTGGCATAAATTACTATAAAAATTTCAAATTCTTTAATTATTATTATCAAAAGATCAATATGAAAAGATAAGACGAAAAAAGTTTATACACTCTCGAAAAAGCAAGTTTCCTGAGCCATCCATCAAGAATGATAAAAAGCAAATAAAGTACCAAATTCGATAAATATATCAGATTCGTGTGCAAATATAAAACTTTTTCCATTATCATTCCTCCATCTAGGGATTGCATGCTGGAATTGTTTAGAGAGTTGTACGAGTTTTTGTGTTTTGTATTATTCTCAATACTATATATATATATGAGAGTGAATTTATACTTGAACATAGTAGTCACGCCAGCCTACAATCAAACAATGCACCATTGTATTTCAGTAATATCAGAAGATACGTATTCTATTTCTTAGGAACATGAATTCAAGTGCTCCGGCCTAATAGAGCGAGTAACTTCCGAATGTAATGCCGAACCACAATGTCCAAATCCTTGCGAGTGTGCCAATGGAATTGTCAATTGTCGAGAAAAATTATTGACTAAAATTCCAACTCATTTACCCGAAGATACTACTGAATTGTAAGTTCTTTTACTTATTTATTTTTTTTTTTATCTATTATTAATTATTCTATGTATTTACAGACGATTGGAGCAAAATGGAATCACGGAAATTCCTCCCAAGGCTTTTTCTCCATATAGAAAATTACAAAGAATGTGAGTTGAAATTCAAAAATACTTCTCACTTTTTTTTTTTGCAAAAGAGAATTGAAATTAAATGAATTTATTTCTTACAGAGATTTAAGTCACAATAAAATTGAAAAAGTCGCCGCCGATTCATTCCATGGATTAAAAGCCTTAGATTCATTGTACGTAGTCAATAATTTTTTAATATTCAAATTATACTTCAGAAATAGTAATTCATTTTTTAAATTTTAGAGTTCTTTATGGAAACAAAATCACGGAATTACCTAGTGGAATTTTTCATGGATTGAGCAGCTTAAAACTATTGTAAGTACCAATGAAGAAAAAATAAAAATTAAACTATTTAAGTGAATATATTCGAAGTATAGAAATTCTGATTTTTTTTGCAATTTTTTTTTAAAAATAAAATCCGGAAATTCTGAACAATGGTAGTGATCTATATTGAGAAAAAAAAGAGCTTTATCAATCAATATAGGCTACAATAAACTTAATCGATAATTCACATTTGTTCCAGGCTATTAAACGCCAATGAGATATCCTGCATTCGGACTGACCTGTTTCGAGACTTGACCAACCTTGAGCTTCTATCCCTTTACGACAACAATATCCAGTCTCTCAGCAATGGAACCTTTGCAATCCTACGCAACATCAAAGTCTTGTTAGTATATATATCCATAATTTCAAGTTAAACGAGCGCTAAACTCAGCTTTACTAGCCTCACTTTGAAATTGGTTATGCACCATTATAGACTCAACTAATATATGCATTTTGCCGCTGCAGAATTCAAATTTCATGTTTGTTTAGAGGCTACATAAAAACTTCATATTAATATATACATAAGCAAAATTAAAAAAAAAAAACATTTTTTTTTAGGCATTTGGGGAGAAATCCACTTATCTGCGATTGTAATCTACGATGGCTGAGTAATTATTTACATAAAAATCGAATTGATACTTCTAATCCCAAATGTGATTCTCCAAAGAGATTGTTTAATAAAAAGATCGACATGGTTCGAGATGAAAAGTTCAAATGTAAGGGTAAGCATAATTTGATTTCTGATATCTATTGTTATTTGGACAAGGAAGTACTCAGGTCGGTAATTTGAACCTTGAATCCCGCTTTTTTTTTGCCTCACTTTTAATTTCACTTTCGTAGATCCTACTTCCTTCACAAAAATTAAAATCCTCATTTTTTTCACTTGGATAAAATTTATTTGTTGATGTTATTATTTTTTTTTCTTAAATGATCCTAAACAAATTGACCTGCAGTGTGTTTAAGGTATTTCTCTTGCTAGATAAAAAAAAAAAATTATAGTACCTTTCGAAGAATTAAAATGTTGTTTTTCAAAAATTTTTGTCACTGAAATTGTAGATAATCTACTTATGTAGAAAATAAGACGTAAAGAAAAATTGCATCACTTTTAAAAATTTATATACTAGCGATATGAAAAAAAAGTTTAATTGCCCAAAATTTAAAAAAAAAAAAAAAATTTTCTATTAAGTATAAGGTATTAGTCGTTAAAAATTTTCCAAATATTTTTTTTTGTTTTAATAAGTATTCGTTTTTTTTTTTTCTAATGGCTGCAGGTGATGAGGAACTTCTAACAAAAAGAGCTGGTGAATGCATTCTTCCTGGGCCGTGTCCTTTTCCATGTACTTGTACTGGTGCTACTGTTGATTGTTCTGGACAAAAATTAACATCAATTCCAAAAGATCTTCCAATTTACACATCTCATTTGTAAGTTATATTCGTATGAAAAAAATAATAGATAATTAAAATAAAGGTATTTAAATGAAAATTATTCTTTAGAATCATGAGGAATAATGAGCTTGAAAAAATAAAAGCCGATGGATTTTTTGAGAAATTACCAGATTTACAGCATTTGGATTTGAGAAAAAATAAAATTACCCGAATTGAAGCATCTGCCTTTCAAGGAGCTAAAAAAATCTCAGAATTGTGAGTATATTTTTTTTTCTCGATATAATCAAATATTTAATATAATTATTACTGTTATTAAATCTCAATAAATTGATGTTTTTCCAGACTTTTATCAGAGAACAAATTAAGAGAAATTCATAATAAAATGTTCACTGGCATGTCTGGTCTCAAAAGTTTGTAAGTTTATTTTTCAATTTTTAATATCTCGTCGTTTTTTAATTGTTCAAGATAATTAATTTGTTTTTTTCTCAGAAATGTGGATTCCAACACAATTACTTGTATAATGCCGGATGCATTTAATGGATTACCCCATTTACGTTCCATGTGAGTAAATAAAATCACAATTATTATTATTATTATGAAGAGAAGAAAATGAAAAGAATTTTAACTGATTTTTAGTAACATGCAAGGAAATCCTTTATCTTGCAATTGTCATCTTGCATGGTTTGCGGAATGGTTGAAAAAACGCGATATTACAAACGTTACTGGAAGTTGTCACGATCCACCACGATTGAAAAATGCTGTTATTAGAGATATTCCTCATCATGAATTTAAATGCAATAGTAAGAAAACAAATGACTCTATTTATTATTATAATATTAATTTTTCAATAGAAATCAATTTAAATATTTATTAACAAAATAATTTATAATTAATTTAAATAATAAATAAATAAATAATTAATTTTTTAATAGAATTTAATTTAATTATTTACAAAATAATACATATTTTGTGTCTATTATTTTAGGTGATAGTCTTGGATGTTTGGGAGATGACTATTGTCCTCCTCAATGCAACTGTGCTGGATCTGTCGTGAGATGTTCAAGATCTCGTCTCACTGAAATTCCACGTGGAATTCCACCGGAAACCACTGAGCTTTATTTAGATGTAAACGATATAACAACTATTCAACCAGAGAGATTAAATCATCTTAGAATTTTAACAAGGCTGTAAGTATTATTATGCAAAAAATTAATACAATTTTTTTTTATTCATGATCTTTGCGATATTTATCATTTTTTTTTTTTATTTTGTTGCAGGGACTTGAGCAATAATCAAATTTCGGTTTTATCAAACGATACTTTCAAAAATTTGACAAATCTCTCACATTTGTAAGTAGAAAAACTAAAAGTGATCGATTTTTTTAAATTTGTTAAACATTTGTTTTACAAATCTAATTTTCTTTACAGAATTATTAGTTACAATCAATTGCAGTGTGTTCAAAGGAACGCACTTTTAGGATTGAAATCTTTGAGAATTATGTAAGTTTTTCTTTAAAAAAAAAAAAGTTTACAGAGGTAAACAATACCTATTTAAATTATAAAATAATTGAAATTTTTTAGGTCCTTGCATGGAAATCAAATTTCCGTTATTCCGGAAGGTGCTTTCGAAGATTTGAAATCAATTACTCACCTGTGAGTAAATATAGATTTGAAATAAAAATCATCTGTTTCGTTAAAAACTACTCAAATTTTAATTTTCATTTATTTTGTTTCCAGGGCTTTAGGATCAAATCCCCTTTATTGTGATTGTAGTATGCGATGGCTAGCTGAATGGGTAAAAAAAGATTACGTAGAACCGGGTATTGCTCGATGTGCGGAACCTTCTTCTATGAAAGATAAATCTCTGCTGACAACACCAGCCAATACATTTTTATGTAAAAGTAAGTACTTCGTCAGCGTGCTCAAAGTGTAAAAAATAAATTTATATTTTTCAAAACGCTGAAATATATTTTTTTTTTCTTGTTTATTGATATTATCGCTTGGCAAACTGTATATACGATCCTTTTCCAAATTTACTTTATTTTTCAATGCTCATTAAAAAACAGTAGACTTTTTAGTTTCTTTTTTTTGGTTCATTACCTCAGAAGAATACTAAAATTGCTCATTAATCGTAGACCTTTCTTCCGCGCAGCCAAACAGCAACCAGCCGAGGTCCTGGCTAAATGTGACTTGTGTTACACCAATCCGTGTCAAAACGGAGGATTTTGCGAGGCGTTACCAGACAGACAATTTCGTTGCAAGTGTTCACCAGGATATCACGGAGAAAGGTGTCGATATAAAATCGATGCGTGCTATGGAAATCCTTGCCGGAACGCCGGAACTTGTAAAGTACTGGAAGAAGGAAGATTCAGGTAATTATAATATTTGTTTAGATCACTTAAAAGTTGATCCAGCAACGCAGCTGGTGATTGTAGTAAAATTATGCACGTGATTGTGCTTATAAATCTGTAGTTCGCTTTTTCAGTAAAAATTAGAAATATATATTTTTTTTTAAATTCCTGATTCCAATGCTGTCACCTTGAGGCCTGCGCATGTTTTGCACGAATAGGTGACAGCGTTGAAAAATTAAATGTTGTAAACTGGCTCGTTGGCGGATCGTATCGCTAAAAAGAATTTTTGGGCTGGATGCATCGATTGACTAAAGTTTGTGTGTACCAGTTGTAACTGTCCTCCCGGCTACGAGGGACTCCGCTGTGAAAACAACGTCGACGACTGTACGAACAACAAGTGTTCTAATAACGCAACTTGTATTGACCTCGTCGAGGCCTACAGATGCGACTGCACCTCTGGATACATGGGAGAATATTGTGAAACGAAAATTCCCTTCTGCACAAAAGGACATGATCCCTGTGAAAATGGAGGACGTTGCGTCGATCACGGGACCCACTACAGCTGCGAGTGCCCAGTCGGATTCTCCGGCATTAATTGCACCGACAATTCTGATGACTGCAACGATAATTTGTGCCAGGTGTGTATCAATAAATCAATTTATCAAATTATATTCAATTTAATTTAATTTTCATTTCTTTTCAGAACGGTGCTACGTGCATCGATGGTATAAATAGTTACGAATGTAAATGTGCGCCGGATTATACGGGGAGGTACTGCGAGATTGGTCCATCAACTGCCATGCTGTATCCTCAGACCAGTCCGTGTGCTCATCACGACTGTCAGCATGGCGCTTGTTTCCAACCGTCATCTTCGGCAGCGGATTATCTCTGCCAGTGCCACCCCGGCTATACCGGTAAGTTAACAAAAAAATTGTTTTTTTCATTTTTGTACTTCGTGTATATATGTGCCTTGAAAATGTAAGGTTTTTGTAATGTCTTTAAGGTGGGCAAATTCTACTGACCAGGAGTATATTTAAATTTACAATTTTTTTAATCATTGCGGTTTCGAAAAGTTTTATTTAAAATTCCGAAAAATAAATATTTTAAAATATTTCAATTTTATTGTTTGAGAATAATTGAGAGGCTGATAGTAAAAATGTTTGAAATAAAAATGGGATGAAAAGTAGAATAAGTGACTTGGGAGTAAAAACGGGTTAAAATGATTGTGTAATGTATTGATAAATTCATTATATTAATAGATAAAAATTATTAAAAATAGTAAAAAAAAAAAGGCTGATTTTATTATAATTAATTTTTTGTAATCATCAATTGCAAATGCGCTTCAAAGTGGAACAAAACTAGGGAAATAAAATTTCAGTAAAAAAGAAGTGCATAAAAATTGATAGAATTTGGGGTGGTTGATAACGAATCTGACATCAAATTTTCAAAATTAAAATAATAATAAAATTTAATTTAATTAAATTAAATAATTTTCATTTTTAGGTAAACGGTGTGAGTACCTGACAAGTCTGAGCTTTGTGGATAATAGCTCGCTGGTCGAGCTTGAGCCGCTTCGTACCCGACCCGAAGCAAATGTGACCATCATCTTCACGACCACTCAAGAAAATGGAGTTCTTCTTTACGATGGACAAAATGGCGAGCACATAGCAGTTGAATTATACAATGGGAGGGTGCGTGTATCTTACGACGTTGGAAATTATCCTACCTCGACCATGTACAGTTATGAAATGGTGTCTGATGGAAAACCGCACATGGCCGAGTTAATAGCACTCAAGAAAAATTTCACAATGAGAGTAGATAAAGGTATTGCGAGAAGCATAATTAATGAAGGTCCCAAGGAATATTTGAAACTCACTACACCAATGTACATCGGAGGCGTTGTTTCCAAAGTCGCCAGTGTCGCGTTCACAGAGTTTCATCTCAGAAACATCACTAGCTTCCAAGGTAAATGAAATTAATAATTCTATCATTTATAATTATAAATTCCAGATTGTCACAAAACAATAATTTCAAAATTCTATAACTTTCCCTGATTTTCCAGATTTTTATTAAAAACTTCCAAACACTAATATAAAATTGTTTTGATGAATTTTAGAAATTTGTGCGATTCAAATAAAAACTGAAATTGAAATTTCTAAAAATCTTTTTTATTTACAGGGTGCATTTCGGAGATGTGGATCAATCATAAGTTGGTTGACTTTAGTAACGCAGCTAAAATGCATGGCATTGCACCTGGATGTATTGCTGGCGAGGAAGAAGCTGATGAAGCCAGCAAGGACGTTATCGAAGTCGAGACAATAAAGAGCGACTTCAAAGAAGATTCTGTACCACAGGAACGTGTTCTACATGAAGATTCAGGTAAACAGCAGGATTTTTCAAAGAAATTAAAAAAAAAATAAAATTTATTCATTATAATTAAACTTGATTTTTAATTATTTCAACAGATTACAGCGTGATAAGTCCTGTAGTTGTCGATCCTTGTGTTGGTAATGATTGTAGAAAAGGTTCACAATGCATACCTTCATATGGAAATACTTACACATGTCGATGTCAACTTGGGTGGCAAGGTCGTTATTGTGAAAAAGGTAAAGCTAAATCCTTTATCAATTAATATATATATATATATAACGATCGAAAGAATTAATAATTTTTATTCCGTTCTTTCTGCAGCACCAACATGTCGAAAGGAAAATACTCGCGAGTACTACAGTGAAAATGGATGTCGAAGTCGACGTCCAGTTAAATTGGCCAAGTGCTGGGGAAGTTGTGGAAACGCTTGTTGTCTACCACGAAAAACCAAACGACGCAAGGTAAAATGTTTAATAAAAAAAAAAGAAAAAAAATAGAGAAAAAAAGAAAATTTTTACATTTTAATTTGTAAAATAATTTTTTTCAGATTCGACTAATTTGTAATGATGGTACACGATACACAAAAGACGTTGACCTAGTGCGTAAGTGCACATGCTCTCGCAAATGTTATTAAACATCAAGGAAGCACCACACCGAACTTCCAGTTCTGGAGCAATGAGAAACTTCCACTGCTCGCCCTCTTTTCCACGAAGAGAAAAAATGTGCTCAGGATAGAATTTTTTTTTCGAAAACGGTGAAAATGGAAACATTTTTAATCGCAGAAGTGGTGAAAATAGTGAAGGCACATGATGGACACACACAGCCGGCTCAGTGTGATATTGTATTATTTAAAGAAAAAAAAAAAAAAACATATGTTAATACATATAGGTATATTACTATTGATATCAGCCAGCTAAGCGTATTAGGTAATCGTAAACGATATGTCTAGCCGTTTTTTTCGTCACGAGGGAACGTACGAACTATTGTATCATTATGAAAGAACATTAGACGTACGTGCTCACGTATTTACGAATTGTAAACGGTGTAAATGCTGTAAATGGATAAAAGTAGCGAAGGAATTCTGCCTAATGAATGATATTATATGAGAATGAATTGTTTTTAAAAAAAAACGCCTTTTCGTTAAGTTTTCCTTTTTTTTTCTTTTTGAATGTTCTCTGCCCACGAACTTAACAATTTCTTCGTACTTTTCATACGTTTATCTCCGTAGACGCTTTGCGGTTCATATCTTTTTCTATATATAAAATTACTGACGATGCTTCAAACGAACGCTGAAACATCAGATCAGTAGAATACCGTCAACGGGGCGGGCTGTATTTCAAATACATAGGTTTTTATTCAATCCAATATACAAAATGTATATTAGATTTAAAAATGGCGTGTTTTTGAAATACGCATCGATATACATATATTTTGTATCAATTGAAATATTTAAAATACTGCCAAGAAGAGTATTGAGTATATTTTATTTAAATCCTTGAAATTTTTGTATATGTAATTTCAAATCCTTTGTTTGTCATTTATAAAAAAAAAAAAAAAAAAATATTATTATTGGTAACTGTTGAAACACGTAAGAAAGAGATCTACGTGTATATGACAATATGTATGCGACAAATCTATATTGCGCTTTATTTTAGGAACGATCCGAAAAAGAAACGAAATCTGTAAACTTTTATATCCCAAACTTTGCAATTACCTTTTAAGGTAGGAAACGCATTTATTTTATTGTTTCCTTTCTTGAAACCATTGTCTGTATACTGTATATTTTCTTCATTGTGGTTAATCTATTCAATATAATATTTGATAAAAACAAATCATATAACAATGATTCCTTTATTTCCCCATTCCTTGCGAAAAGTATAAATAAATGTTTTTTCATGTTTACAAGTCAATAAAAGTAAAACATTCTATGATCCTATTTTTCATAATTATCTAAATAAAATATATTTAAAAATTGCCTGTCTTGAATAAATATTTAATAAAACCTTCGTCAATTTTTTAGAATTTAATTTTTTTAAAAACATTAAATATTTAATCAATTTGTAAAAATTGATTTTCTATTCTTTTTATCATGAGAGGTTTTACTGTAAAAAAAATAGACTTAAAATTATTACTAAGGAGATAATGCCTCAGGAATTGTAACGGAGCATGGTCCATCAAAATGATATCTGAAAGTAGATATAATTTTTTTTTTATTTCTAAAATGTAAATATTTACTGAAAATTGCGATGTGTATTTAAATGCTTACTGGAAATCTCGAGTTGCAGGAGTAGTTTCAATATTAAATTCAGCTACTGAAACACCTCGTTGGGCAACTTGAGGTGCAAACATTGCTGCGGGATATACCACTGACGAAGTTCCAATAACTAAACAAGCATCGCATGATTCAACAGCATCATCTGAAAAAAAACGAAATATAATTAATAAATTTTATTCATAATAATTAATAATTAGAATTAATATAATAAAAATTTTATTTCTATCAACTTTTTTTAACTGTGAACTTACAAGCCTTTGATAAAACTTGCTGGTCAAGGTTTTCACCAAACCAAATAATATGAGGCCTTAGAAGACCACCACAATTATTACATCTGGGTAAATCTTTTACAGGTATATCAGATGATTGTGCTTTTGGATCAGGAGATCTTCAAAGAGTCTCTAATTAGATGTTAAAATTCATTTCTTCTTTTTCAAATATAATAGCTATTGTAATTTATTTAATTAAATAAATAAATAATGTTATCAAAAAAGAACATTATTCAAAACCTACCCCTTTCCTTCTAAAGCAGGACAAATTGGTATACATTCATTTTTTTCGACTGTTTTGCACTTTGTACATTGAGTTTTTAAAAGAGAACCATGAAGTTCGACAACGTTTTCAGCACCTGCTTTTTGATGAAGTCCATCTATATTTTGTGTTACAATGGAAACAATTCTATTATCCTTTTTTAATCTTTTTTGAAATTCCGCAATTGCTTCATGTGCCTGCAAAATAATTATAATTCAATAAATAATCAATTTATTAGTAATTAATCTTAACTTAGTAAATATAAAAATTTACATTCACAAAATTTATCAAAGGCTAACGTATTAATTTTATTATTAAAAATATGCAAAATTCACATAAAACTATTCAAATTTTATATTGTATTTTGTATAGAGAAATTTTTTATTAATATTCAGTGCAAGTACAAATAACCATTGTAACCTATAAATTTTACATTTAAAATCAAAAGTACATACAATAATGTAATTAATAAAAGAAACGAATTCATTAAATAATAATATAATTAAAATAAACTTTATACTTTATTTGGTTGTGCCTGAGCTGCAACAGTTCGTCGATATTCATAAAATTCCCAAACCAAAGATGGATTAGACGCAAAAGCTTCAGGTGTAGCAAGATTTTCAGCTTTATATTTTCTCCAAAAACCTCCAGCTCCACGAAAAGTTGGAATTCCAGATTCTGCCGAAATACCACTTCCACTCAAAATTAGAACATGTTTTGAATTTAAAAGTGTTTCGCGAAAGGACTTCATGACGTTCATTTTTTTCTTCTTTATTTCTATATCTTATTTATTTTATATTCAAAAAAAAGGTTAGTCTTTTATCGTCATCAGTTTACTGATTAATGCGCCTACAATTCAAAAATAACACAATATATTTTAGCTATTGTTTTAAAATTTTAATTTTGACATTTGACCACAAAATCACATGCGTGAATATTTATATTTTGACATATTGTCCTAACCTAACCTGTCAAAATTAGCACCGATTGCGCTTGCGCAGTATTCCGAGAATCACACGTGGTTCCGCCATACTGATAACTGAACTGTATGTCACTTCCGGTTAGTGAGCGACACACGAGCGAGGATAACGTGTTTCTTTAAAAGAAAAATACAACTTTATGTATTATTTATATAATTGTGGCTCAATTAAAACAAAATGGGTGAAAATTTATTAAAAGAAGCGTAAGTGTTGTTAAAGTTGATATTATAAAGTGTATTGAATCAAGTGTAATTCAATAATATTCATATTTTTATTTTTATAACCTCAAAATTATTATTTATAAATATAATACATATTTTTTTAGATTTGAAGTTGAATCTGAACATGGAGCTTTCTATACAGGAGGAAATATTCAGGCAAGTTTAATTCTTTTATTATAATTAAAAATTATAATTTATAAACTCAATTATTTGATTACTACATTTTAGTAACAAACTCTTGTAAAACAACATTATTATAGTAATTGTAAATAATTTAATTAGTTTTAATATTAAATTTGTAATTGACTTGTAATTTTTATTTTATTTACTACAGTGGAGTAAGGATGGTGAACATTTATTTTGCCAAAATCAAGGACAGGTCTCCGTATTGTCAGTAAATAAAGGATTAATTAAATCGGTTATTGGCAAACCTGAAAAAGAAGAAGATGAGGAGGATCCTATAAACTGTTTTGCTCTTAGTACTGACAATCTTTCATTGATTACACAGCATAAAAGTAGTCTTTTCAAATTATGGAGTTGGGAAGGTTATTACATTTTTTTTTTCAAATATATTGAGTGCATTATATTTCGAATAATTAATTATTACAGAGACTTTAATTTTTAAACAGAAACAAAATTAAAAAAGATGTGGAAGTCTATTCATCAAGGACCAGTAACTCAAATATCTTTTTTCGATGGAGATATTCTCATGGCCTCTGGAGGTTCTGATGGCAGTGTTAGACTTTGGAACATTGAACATCAATCTTGCACTCATAATCTTAAGGGTATTCAAGGAGTAATTAGGTAACTTGGAATATTGAAGTCAAAATTTAATTTGTCATTTTTATAATTTCGGTAAATTTTCGTCATACATAATTTATTATGTTTGTAGTGTTTTAGAATTTCATCCCGATTCGGAGAAGGAACTTTTATTTGCCGCTGGCGATGATACTAAAATTCACGGTTGGAATATAAAAACTGGACAGAAAAAATTATTGTTAAATGGACATTTTAGTAAAATTACTTCTATTTCTTTTCATGAAGATGGAATACATATGCTCAGGTAACAATTTTCAATTAAATTATTGGAAATTCTCAACGAAAAAATATTCTTTTTTTTATTTACACGATTTTTCAGTTCTGGACGAGATAAAGTTTTAGTATTGTGGGATATTTTAAAAGGAACTTCTTTAAAAGTTTTACCAGTTTATGAAGGAATCGAAGGAGCATTTATTATTCCATCTGAAGCTGTATTACCAAATTCTTTGAAAAATAAATCAAGTGAAATCTATGCTGCTTGTGCTGGTGAAAAAGGTAATTAAATTCAACTCTTTTTTTTTTAGTATAAACAGAATAATGAAAAATTTATATTTTAGGAGTCATTAAAATATGGAAAATGAAATCAGGACGTGAAGTTTATACACAAGAAAATTCTCTTGTTCATCCTGCAAAAGAAGCAGGTGGTCTTTCTATAACACATTTATTGTACAATGCAAAAAGTAACAGTGCGGCTGTTGTGTCTGCTGATCATAATATTATAATTCATTCTATGGAAACTTTTGACTGCAAAAAACAGGTAATATATTATAAATCAAAACAACAAAATTAAACATAAATTATAACAAGTGATTGTAATTTATTGTTTTTGTTGACAGTTAGTGGGCTACAGTGCAGAAATTTTGGATCTCGTTTATGTTGGCGAAGGAGACACACATTTGGCAGTTGCATCAAATAGCTGTGATATAAAATTATACGAATTAGAAACAATGAATTGTCAATTATTAGGTGGTCATACAGATTTTGTGATGGCATTAACCACCACTCATATAAATCGACATCTTTTCGCCTCATCTAGCAAAGTAAGAAATTTATTAAACTCTTTTTATAAGAAAATAATAAAAAAAAAAAAATTATTTTAGGACAACAGTGTAAGATTATGGCTACTGGACAGAGAATCTTTACAAGCTAGTTGTATTGGTGTAGGAGTAAGACACACTGAATCGGTGGCATCTATTGCACTCTCTCAAGCATCGACAAAATTTTTTGCATCTGTCAGTAAAGATTATTGTCTAAAAATATGGGATGTTCCCGAAAAATTAGTAACAGGCGGTAAGAATATTAAAATATTATCTATAACAATAATGAAAAAAAAATTCTATATTTTCCATATCTCATAGATGCTGTAACTCTTAGTGCAATTTTCTCCGTGAAAGCACATGATGCAGAAATTAATTGTGTTTCCGTTTCTCCGAATGATAAGTTCATTGCAACTGCTGCTTTAGATAAGACTGCAAAGGTACTTTGTGTTTAAAAAAAGAAAAAAATATTCCTATTTAATTTTTCATCAAAAGGAAAATTTCATTTAAATTTTTAATTTTCAGCTTTGGGATGCGAGTAATTTACAATTATTGGGTGTATTTCGTGGACATCGAAGAAGTGTTTGGTGCGTTCGATTTTCACCGATTGATCAAGTACTTTTAACATCGTCTGCTGATTGTACAATGAAAATTTGGTCATTGACTGAATTGAATTGTTTAAAGGTAATCTAACTAAAGAGAATCTGATTTTTCTTTTTACTACAATTAATTATTTTCAATGTAAAACTTATTAGACACGATTGTAGACTTTTGAAGGTCATGAAGCCTCTGTAATAAGGACAGAATTTTTATCCCGAGGGATGCAAATTATGTCATCATCAGGAGATGGTTTGGTGAAACTATGGTGTGTCAAAACTTCTGAGTGTGTTAGTACTTTGGAAAAACACGAATCTGCAGTATGGGCACTCAAGGGTAAGATTTTATAAAAAAAAAAAAAAATTTCTTTATCATATGAATAACAAATTTTACTAATTTTTTTTTTTGTCTTTAAAATAGTAAATAAGATAGAAACTCATGTAGCAACTGGAGGAAGTGATTCAAAATTGATTATTTGGCGTGATGTTAGTCAGGAAAATAAAGCCAAATTAATTGCCGAGAAGGAAGAGTTAATTCTTCAAGAACAAAAATTATCAAATTTACTCAAAGCTGATCTATTAACAGAAGCTTTAAATCTTTCTTTAAAGTTAGAGAAGCCTTTTCAAAGTTTGAAAATAGTTGAAGGTATTGTAAATAAAAATTATTAATTAGAAATTATCTTCATAATTCATCATTAACGAAAAATAATATTTTTTTCTATTTTATAAAACCTTTAAAATGTATGCTTTTATTTTTATTTGAAAATAGTTTTACGTCACAAAACAATGAAGTGCAAAGTGTCGTAAAAGCAATTCTCAATGATAAAATTGTGAAACTTTGTTTTAATGGCGATTATTTGTAATGATAATTGTTTTTTTTAATACTAATTGTTTTTATAGGTATCATTAAGAAAAGCGAGGAGAATTTAGTTAATACTATTCGAGAATTAAAACCATCTCGGCAGGAGTCATTATTGAAATGTGCGGTTATTTGGAACACCAACAGCCGAAATTCACAGGCTGCTCAGGTAATTTTTATAGTTATGTATACAAGACTATCTCTCCTGAAGCAAACAAATGATTATTTTTTTTTTTTTTTTTTAGTTTATTTACATTTCTACCAAACTTTCTTGAGCAAATATTTTACGTCACACTTTTAAGAATACGAAATACCACTTTAATCGTAAATATTATCTAAAAAAAAGTTATTTTTGTTTCCAGTTGGTGATAAACGCATTAATGAATGAAATTAGTGGCGAATATTTACAAACGATAGGTTATAATTCATCATTAGAGTCATTGATCCCATATTCAGAGCGACATTTTAAGAGAGTTACACGATTATTACAAGATCTTCATCTACTTAATTATACTGTACATCGCATGAAACCTCATATGACTCCAATGAATATTGACTAATTTAGACGAATCTAGAGATGAAAATTTTTAAAGAAGAGAATAAACTTTTATTTTTTTTAAAAATAGATCAACATTATTACATTTTTTAAATCCACAATTTAATAACGCAATGTATCTACTTTGGAAATTATTTAATAACAATTTTTAAGCATCAACAAAAAAAAAACTCATCATCCAAAAGTCTGATTCACAAAATTATCTTTAATCATTTGCAAATAATGCGCATTCTTATGAGTACAGAATAATTAAATGGTCAAAAATAAATTTTTCTCTTATTATCGTTTAGTGCGTGTCAAAAACACAGGATTTATAATTTAAAAAAAAAATGAAATTGTATATAATTTAAATTCATTGAGACAGATTCTGCTACCTCAACCCAATTCTTATAAGAGCTAAACGCTCTTTCAAAGAGCAAACAAGTGACAATGGTGGGAACAACGTCTGGAGAGTAACTCTAAGCAAATTACATTCACAAGAATTTTCCGGATCAGTAACAGTTAGTAGGTAGATCAGTTCACTGCCAAGGAAGCTTAGAATGACTCTGGGAGGAAGAGTTTTTATTTTGTCAAGCTTTATTATTCTGTCAATTCATTTTTCTACCGGCACCCTCAATATTAATTCGTAAGTCTTTTCCCTTTCAATATTTAAAAATTTCTCAACTATTTATAAAATTGATATCTTAATTTTTTTAATATTTATTATAATTAATACGTTAGTAAAAATATTAATATTTATGCAAAAAAAAAAAATTAACTTTTTCAAGTCAAAATTTTTTTTAAAAATTTAGAATCTTACTATTATTAATTTTAATTTTTAAAAAATTAACCAAAAAAAAAAAAATGTCAACGTAATAGATATTTTATGACTAAGATACTAATCATTTTTCCCAAGTTATTAATTTTTATAACTATAAAAAAAGTGATGTCATACTTTGAAAAATAGTGTAGTATATTAAGAGTGACAGAAAATTCTATCAACATTTGATAAAAGACGGAGTTATAAATGTTAACAATGATGACAGCTACCGAATGATAAATTAAAACCTAAAATTTAATTGTATTTAAAAGTGAATTGTTTTGGCACTAGTAGTTCTTAATTTTTCTTTCGCTTTATATTTCTATCATTGATGTAGAAAAACTTGGAAATTAATAGAGCATGTCTTTCAACCTTCATTCACATCGTGTTTAAAAAAAACCTTTTGATGATTATCCTTGTCGATTGGTTCCTTAAAAATAATTTTTTCCGCTCTATATTTTACTTTTTAATAATGAAAATTTTTTAATGATACAAATTTTATAGAGAATGGATATTTTTCTTCAATTTCACTTAAAGACTGCACAGTGAAAAATAAGGAAGAAAGTCAAATGAATTGCTCAATCTTATCTATAAAGACTTTCTGACTGATAAAAATTTATTTGCAATCACGTGAGAAAAAAAATTAGCTATAAAAAACATTAATTATTTATAAGTTGTAAAAAATTATTTATTGAAAGAGAAGAATAATAAAGAAACATTTTTTAATTAGAAATAAAATTTAATTGTTTTTTAATCAAAGTTATTAACAAAGATTACTTTTTTTTTTTATTGAAAAATTATTAAGATCTCCTTGAATTTACTTATTCGTTTAGCTTTCTAAACGTCACCGCAAGTTTTTATCTGAAATCGTAATATTCTGTTGATTAAGCATTTCTTTTATTCAAATTGTTTGAATATTAAGTTTGTAACAAGAATTTAAACTGGCGAGATAGGGCAAACAGAAGTTTGAAAAAAAGCATTTATTTGTCGCAAACATTTCTGACGACATTAATATAGTTAGACTTGATAAGTTGTATAAATAGTACAATATTTTATACTATAAATTTCGGGGCGAGATAAAGTCTTTGAAATTTATTGAGGCACTGTTAGCTTTTCAGGGTCTCGTGTGGCCTGCAAACTTTTATAATTATAAAAAAAAATTGCATCACATCCTTTTAATGACTTGCTTAAGATTTTTTACTTGTACAGAAAGCTTCCTATCTTCAGCGAAAAAATTTCATACTGTATTCAATACTTCCTGTTTTATCACATAATAAAGAAAATTCATCGGGGAAAAGTAAAAAAACATCTTTTAAAAATTTTCTATGTACATTTTTATATGTATTAAAAAAAAAACTTTAACTTCCTTTTTGTAATTATATTTAAATTGAAAAAGAATATTTAGTTGATTGACTTTAGTTATTAAGAGAGGTAATAAATTTAAAATAATAGCTTAAGTCTTGTGATGTATTTTATGCGTTTTCATGGCACCTGCCTATTGTAATTGAACAACAAAAAAAAAAAATAATAAAAAAAAATACACATTGTTTTAAGAAAAGAAGCGTGAAGAATATTAATTCAATTTTTTTTTCCTGAAAACTTATAAGCGACAAAACGAAAAAAGAAAAAAGAAAGCTTTGAGAAAAATGTCTTTGCTCTTCAATAAACCTCGTGATTCATGTCCGATAAGCACTTTTCCTGGAGTACTTTATAAAATAAACTGAATGAAACTAATATTTAAATTTTTATTTAAATTTTATGTATTTTTTTCTTCTATGAAAATAAAATTTTGAAAAAAAAAAATGATGAGAAAATATTAATAACAATAAAAACACTTGATTGGAAAACGTTTTGAATAAAAATTTATCCTAATTGCAAATGATTAAAATATTTTTATCTTACAGAACGGAAACTTGTAAAGCATTGAATGTGACACCAACAATAACACAGACCGATTTACTTCAAGAATTAACAAAAGATTGTCGATATGACAAATTACAGAGACCACCAGGTGAAATTTCACGTAATGATCCAGTGAAAGTTTCATGTAGAGCTTATATTTATACCATTAAGTCTAATATGGCAAAGACTTTGGTAATTAAATATAATTTTTTTTTGATTTATAGGGGAAAAAATGCAGAATAAAAATCTATTAGCTTCATAATTTTTTCTAGGAATTCGATGTTCATATGATGTTACAATTTCGTTATTTGGATAAACGATTGAGTTTTGAAGAGATTGCACCTTATCAGGGTCAAATTTTTGGAGGAAAATCTGCACATGATTTAATATGGACACCATCAGTTTATGTTGCAAATGAAAGAAGTTCGGCAATTATGGGTAGTGGTGTTAAAGATCTATTGATTTCGATCGATCCTTCAGGAATGGTAATTCTAAATACGAGGTGGGAATTTTAGAAAAGAAAACTAATTTACTTGTGACAAAATTTTAATTTTCTAATTTTATCACTTTTTTTTTTATTTTATAGATTAGAGGCAATTCTTAATTGTGGTCTTCGATTGGAAAAATTTCCCTTTGACGTTCAAGAGTGTCCACTTGTTTTTGAAAGCTGTATGTTAATAATTAAAATTCTTTTTGTAAATGTCGAATAATAAATTTACGCTAATTTTTTGCAGGGACAAACAATGTCCAAGAAATGATAATTGACTGGGACGAGAATCCTATTATTCTTGCTGATGAATTACATTTAACAGAATATAGACTTGTCGATAAATGGGTCAATAAATCGAAAGTTTCTTATACTCCAGCTGAACAACATTATGGACACTTTGGTAAATTAAAAACAAATAATTTTATATTTTGAAAAAATTGTATTATTTTAAAATTTTTTCAGCTGGAAATTTCAGTACAATTAGAGTAACATTTAAATTAGCTCGAGAAATGGGTTTCTTTATGATGGATTATTATATACCATCAATTTTGATTGTTGTTATTTCTTGGGTTTCATTTTGGTTGCACATGGATGCAAGTCCTCCGAGAATTGTTTTAGGTAAAAAAAAAAAAAGCTTACTTATATTCATAATCAGATAGAATTTATATCAAAAATTTATAGGAACAAATACAATTTTGGCTTTTATGACTCTTGCATCAAAAGTGGAAAATTCTCTGCCCAAAGTTTCTTACATAAAAGCAAGTGAAATTTGGTTTCTCGGTTGTACAATTTTCTTATTTGCTGCAATGGTGGAATTTGCTTTTGTCAACACAATTTATAGAAGAAAGTAAGTATTTAACTGGTAACTTAAGGAAAATCTTTATTTAGAAAATATTGTCTTTTGTGATTCATATGCAATAGATTAACGTTTATAAAATGCTCTTTCAGGAAAAATGTGCCACTGAAAAAAGTAAACAGTAAATATATTCTTAAATCAACACTAACGCCTAGACTGGCAAGAAAACAATTTCAAAAAAATACTACTGGTTTGGAAAGATCAAGATCTTGGTCGTCATTGGATAATGATAATTTTGGTGAACATGATTACACAAGTACAAATTATCTAACTGTTCATGTAAGTTTTGAATTTTTACATTATATTTTCATAATTCCAAAATATTTTCATTGTTTAATATACTATTTTAATCATTTTACTAATTTATTTTTTTAATAAATTTTAGAGTTTTCCAAGTACAATAAATGTTCCTTCAGTAAAGATAGATGAGGAAAAAAATGCAGATTCGACGGGTAGTATAGTGACAATTAATAGCGTTGCAGCATCTCCACCACCTGTAAAACCTGTGGCCAGAAGGCCAACATTAGCTCGACTTAATAATTTTACAACAATGACACCACAAGAAATTGCACAATGGATTGATAAACGTAGCAGAATACTTTTTCCTGTTGCCTTCCTCATATTTAATATTCTCTATTGGTCTTTTATTTGGATTTGAAAACCTACTTGAGAAACGAATAAAAAAAATTGTTTCTTATATCGATTATAAAACTTCGTTTAATCGTTTCATTAAATGAAAAACTAATTATTTTAGAAGCAAATTTAAAAATAATTAGTTTATTTCAAATATTTTTTTTTTTTGCCTAAAATATTATCATTTAAATACGATCAAAACTAGAAAAATAATTCTCCTAATTTAAAAAAAAATAGATTTTAAGTTTTATATTTAAATTCAATGGAATTTTTTCAATTCCAATGTATAGAATTAATTAATTTATATATAAAAAAATAAGATGTTTTTTAATTGTAGAATTTTTAGAATAATTTTATATAAATTTTATTATTATAACCTTTTAACTGTTAATAAATTTTTACTATTTAGAAATTAGAAGTAAACAATAATTTACATTGAAAAATGGGAAGTAAACATTTGGCATTATAAATAATATATATTTAGAAAATTCAAAGAACGTTTCAATTAGATGAGTAATTGCTTTCAGTAATATTAATAAAATTGTTAAATGATCGATTAAAGTACTAAGTGCACTAAAAAAAATACACAAAAATAAATATTTATTCACGTTTTATTTGCATTATTTTTTTTATTGTTACATCGAGAAAGAAATTAAATACTATAGAAAGTATAGCGAATGAAAAATAATTAAATGAAAATAAATAAAATGTATTGAACGTTTTAATTTCACCAAAATTAAATAGTAAAACTCAAAACCACTTGAACTTGATTAGAAGTGACTTATATTGTGTAAGGATCGATAAAGTGACCTCGTTATTTTGTCTTCAATATGTTTTAGGACCTGTAAAGTATTTAGTCAGAGATTTATATGGATACTCATTCCTGAAATAGTTTATTGATTTGAAAATTAGAAAATGCAATTTAAAAATTGTTTATTTATCAATTAATGGAGTTTTTTGAACACTTTTATTTCATTCGAAAAGAAATTAAATTCTTTACTATTATTAGTAATTCTCTTTTTTTGGTTTATCCAGCAATCAAATTAAGAGGGATATAAATAGGTCGTTGAATGGTGAAAACATAAAATGAAAGATCATATACAAAAAAAATGATATTTTATTATAATAAATTCTAATGTGGGTTAAAAATTGTTTCCAACAATTATTTTTAGCGAACGCATCAATAATTTAAAAAGTTTAATAATATTTCTGAAACAAAATAATAAAGTGAAAAAATTTAAAAACAAAGATGTAATTAATTTATATTAATTTGAATTCGTTCACGATTCCTAATTTGAATATGCATAATATGATACAAAAGTCGGCGTAGTTGATAGTAATTTTATCTATATATTTGATTTTTACAATGAATTTACTGCGTGTTAGGAATATATTAAATTGTAATAATCTGAGTGACCTTAGAAAAAAAACGCCCATGATTAAGTCAAAAATTCCAAAGGAACTGTGTATATTGAAGGTCGACCTCGAATATTAGGGTTGAACGAATGTTCACGTGTCTCACGCAAACGGACCCCATAAAATTTTCTACTCAACGAGCAGCTTTCTTATTTAACATTAAAGAAAATCTTGATAAATATCTACAATCTTTGTTTTAATTAAGTGACTGAGCTTAAAATTTAAAAATAGAACATTAGGGTCAATGAAAATTTTCTAAATTTTCTATATATAATATGTCTCAAAGTTTAACGAAATTTTCAATCTTTTATAATAATTGTAAAAGTCAGGAAATGATACAATTTCATTTCACGATCACGAAAAGTCAAAAAGGATAAATTGAACAGAATATATCATAAGCTCAATTGGAATATTTTTCTGTCTTGTTACAATAATGTAATATATAAATTATTAAATTTAAATTTGAACCAAGACAAATTTTCTAAACAAAAGTTTTGTTTGAATTCTCTTTTGTGTATATGCAACTATTATAACACTAACTTAAGTAGTAAAAAAAATTGTCTTCTGAAATGTAATATCGATTGACAAAATAATCATAGGATATGAATAATAACTATTAATATTTTATTAAACCTATTTTAATTTGAAAAAAATTATTATTGAGTTAGAAAACTAACTAATCATTTTTGTAAATGTTTAATGTTATATGAAAAGGTAAAATTATTATTTTTGTAATCATCATTTGATGATTAATGTGTATAAATAAGGTATGTAGGCTATATTTAATACTACAATATATTAACTTGTTTAATAATCATGCTAATTTCTCTTATTTAAATTCACAAAGATGCGAAATCAAAAAATCAATTTTTATTTTTCACTTTCAAGAATTCATTTAAATTCGTAATTCACTCCTAGATAAAGATAAAATTTTATTTCATACTGAGACTTTGCAAATATAAAGTAGTTGCAAAAATAAAAAATTACAGTTTGACTTCAGATCGTAAAAAAAAATCCTTTTTTACGAGCAATCGAATTCTCGTGATAAAATCTGATTTATGTCAGCAAGAAATTAAGGTTTAAAAATTTGCAAAAATAAATTATACAATGATTCTTAAAATATTTAAAAATTCGTAGACTATAATTATCGAAAATCGTGAAATTATACTGTACTTAATAATTTTATGAAATGAGAAAAAATATAAATTAAATTAGCGTTTATAATAGTTTTTGCAGAACTAATAAATTTTTTTTACTTACATATGTTTCTTGTTCTTTTTTGCGTGTTGTGAGACTATTAAAGAAAAAAAAATGGTAAATTTTTGCAGCCACAATTTCAGCAACCGCAGTAATGACTTGTGTAAACAGGTGTATTAAATTTTGCCATAAATCCAAGATCGAAAAATAAAGTGTGTTGCGCAGGTGTAAAATCTACGAGAACTACGCAGGTATTCCATCCATCTAAAGGGAAACAATTTTCTCTCTCTACCTATGTATATTCAACGGTACCGTCGCTTTCAGTCACGTTTCTTCTTTTGACCTGTGAACCTCGTTTTTCTTCCTACAAAAAAAAAAAAAAAATTAATATATAATTATTAATTTATATACACAATAAATACAGTGCAATTAATTTAATTTTTAGAAAATATTTTTTTTTATAAATTACATTCAGATTTTATTTTGAAAAAAGAAAACCTTTATTTTCTTTAAACATGTGTTTGGAAAATTTTCAAACTTCTTAAATATTTATAATAATTATTTTTAAAAAATGATTAAGCAACTAAAATAAGTGATTGTGTTTAAAAATGTCAAGAGCAGTAAAAAAAATGTATACTGTGAACTGCAAAAAAATGATTAAAATAAGTGTATTATACTGATAGTGAAAAAATCAATTTTGTGTTAAAATTTTAAAGTGTCAAGAACAATCTAAAACAATAAAAAAAATTATAAATGAACAATCTGTAGTTGAAAATTTAAGAAAATATAAAATTGAGAAAGTTAATTTTTTTGAAGATTTGAATTATACTTACAAGAAGATGACGCAGTACAGCAGCAGTAGTGGTAGTAGCAGTAGTACAAGTAGTAATGGTCGTGATTTTAAGGATCAATCGATTCGACCTATTGAAGAAAAATTAATGGTAAGTGAATTTTGTTAAATTAATACCGCATAAAAAAGATTAATTAAATTTAACTATTGAATAATTTCAATTTTGAAAATATTTATTAATTAGTAAATAACAAATTTACTTTATTTGTATTTTAATATCATAATGGACTTGATTGTACAAACTATGTAATAATATACAATGGAGATAATAAATTCTATTCTATTCTAATTAGTAATAACCTGAATTGTTATTAATAATTAATATATTTTATAATAATATAAAAATGTTAATTTAATAATTTTAATTTAAACATATTTTATATTTTAATTTTTCCGATTAATATTTAAATATATATAAAAAAACATGCGAATTTTTAAGATTTATTGAAGATAGCTGTAAAATCTGAAAAACCTGGCTTATCTTTCCATGTATACAAACATAATACAATTTTATATAGCTATACGCACGGCTTCCATTAATTAAACGACCCGCATTCTATTATTCATACATTTTGTATATAAAAATAACATTTGTCAGATTTTACATTTACAAATCTATATTGATAAAATTAGAATGTTTATTATAAAAAAAAAGGTCAAAAATAATGCAAATAGATATTTAGAGATAAATGTGAAATAAAAAAATAAAAATGAAAATTCAGTAGGGCCAAATCAATATATTAGGTCATTGTTCTAAGGAAAAAAAGTTTGCACAGTATTATGAAAAGAAGACAAGGTGTAATAAAAATATGTAAAAGTCGAGGACGTTGAGAAAAATCGATTGATGACACTGATAGAATGTTAAAGTAATAAAAGCTTACTGATGCACAATAGTTGAAATAAAGTGTGAGTTATTAACACTTATTTCGAAATCGGTCTTCTTTTATTTTTCCATGAAAATAAAATTTTTATTTTTAAAAAATATTTTCATTAAATTCTAATTGAAATTTTTTTTCTCAAATAAATTCAGATATAAAGAATATTATAAAAAAAAAAAATTTTTAAATAGGTGGCAGTTCGTATTAGGCCTCTTGGTCGAGGTGAATCGGGAAGATCTCTTCATGCAATTAATGAAAAGGTATATTAAACAATTTATCATTAAAAAAAAAATTTTAATTTCAATTAAAAAGAAAAATATTTTAATAATTATATTTAATTTTAAGTTTTATAACCTTTTTTAAGTTTTGTTTTGTATTTTGAAAATAAAAAACAAAAAAATTGAAACGTTCGGTCTGACCAAACGCCGCTTGTACTACTGAAGAAACTTAATCGTTCTGTTAGCGAAATAAGATTTTAATGATTAAATTGAAGTTCAATTTCAAACAAAATAATTAACTAATTTTTGAAATTAAGTAATTAATTAAAGAGTAAATTTTTAATAATCAACAAATAGTATGAAATAAACTTTTTCTTAGAAAATAAATTTTAATTAAATATATGTGAAACCAATTTTTTAGATGGTGATGATAGAAGATGTCGACACTGAGAAACAAAAACGAACTTTTCCTCGACAATATTTATTTGATGTAGTTTTTGGAGAAGATTCCACTCAGGTATTGTATTTAAATTTTTTTTTTTATTAATTTCACACGTTAGGAAATTTACAAAAAAAGAAATGTTCCAATTGTTTTTGTAAGCAGAGATGAAAATTAATTTAAAAAATTTTTTGTGGATAAAATAAATAATTATTTAAATTGTCATTGTAGGAAAATTTTGTCTCGGTATAGTTTCTAGTTATTATTATTATTATTGTAAAAGTAGATCAATTGTTTGTTTATTTTTTCGAGTGAAGTTTATATTTCAATATTACATAAATAAACGGCAACCAAGGTGAAACTATAGGGAATCTTGATCGATTTTTTTTTTACACGTGAGCCCTTTCTTTAAATATGTTTGATTATCGTCTTTTACATATAATGTATTTTACTTTTTATGAAATGGATAAAAAAAAATGCTATATTATTTTGCTAGTAAATAAAACTAAATGCTATAAAATATACTAATTTAGTAAATAATTATCATGGAGGTAATATGGATATTAAATATTTTAATATTTCAATGGAGAAATATTTTTTACTCTATAATTTCAAAAATTTCAAATTAGTTATCGATTTACTAAAAATTCCGAAAAGGAAAAAACTGTAGTATAGATATATCCATACAATTTTTAAATAAATTGAAAATTCACAAAATTCAAAGGAAGCAGTTTATGAAGGAACGACAAAATCACTGGTTCAAAATGTCTTGCATGGATATAATGCAACAGTTTTTGCCTATGGAGCAACGGGAGCTGGAAAAACTCACACAATGGTTGGTAGTCCATCGAATCGTGGAATTATGGTCCGAGCTCTTAATGATATATTTCTTGCAACTCGTCGGCTTCCTGAAAATGTTGAACATTCGGTTAGTATCACAATATATTAAAAAATTAATTAGTTTTTATAAAATATAAATGTTGTTTCTATTGAATTTTTCAAGGTAACTATGTCCTATATGGAAATTTATAATGAGAATATTCGAGACCTGTTGAATCCTTCCTCGGGTTACTTAGAATTGCGTGATGAGTCTCGAGGTCGTTACAGTCAAGTAGCAGGTCTCACGGAAGTATCAACAACTTCTACAGACGAGGTGAATAGCCATATTATTAATAAAAAAAAAAAAAAAATTCGAATGGTGTCAATAAAAAAAATGTTTCAGGTAATGCAACTTTTACACAAAGGAAATAAAGCACGAACAGTGGAACCAACAGCGGCTAATGAAACTTCCTCCAGGAGTCATGCACTTCTTAGTGTTATTGTGAAACAATCTGTAAAACCAGTTGAAAGTTCTAATCGTCATCGAGCAAGGATAACTCAGGGAAGACTTTTTATGATTGATTTAGCTGGATCAGAACGAGCGAAACAAACAAAAGTAAGTGTTTATTATTTTTTTTTTCGAAAACATTTTTTTTTTCTATATTATATTATTATTTTCAGAATCAGGGTAAAAGACTACAAGAAGGAGCTCATATTAATAGATCATTATTGGCCTTGGGAAATTGTATAAATGCATTATCGGGTGGAGCCAGGTATGTCAATTATCGGGACTCAAAATTAACACGATTGTTAAAGGATGCTCTAAGTGGAAATTGTCGAACAGTAATGATTGCACATGTTTCACCAGCAAGCATTCATCGTGACGAAAGTCGAAATACTCTTATTTATGCAGACCGGGCTAATCGAATTTCCAATAAAGTTGAAAGAAATGTTCTTGATGTTTCTTATCATGTTTCACAATATCGAGACATCATTAGCGATCTAAAGAATGAAATTTCAAGGCTAAGAACTAAAATGACTGATGATAGGCCAAGATTTGATGAATTAAAAACAAATAATCAAAGGGGAACGGATTTTAAAACACTTCGTGAAAAAATTGTATCGGTTTTTAAGGAACAAATGAGACTGAGGTTTCTAATTTTTAATTCTTAAAAAGCTTATTGAAAATTTATCAATTCAAGACCCTGACTTGGAACAATATTCAAGGTTTCAATAAATAAACAAAGTTTAAGTATAGTTTACGTCTAGTTCATTGATAGACTAATTTTCTAGCTTTAATTGAAACCTATTTTTAAAGTTGGACTTGAATTTTTAAAGCTGTTTAGAGGCTAAGAAAGTCTATAAGATTCAATAAGTAATCCACAAGTGTCAGAGTAAAAAAAAATAATACATTTTTCTTTCTTTCTTTCAACAGACGAAAATTAATGGAAATGGATAGTCATTTATTGAGTTTAAATATTGCTGCTGAACAACAACATCAGGTCATATCTCATTGGGAATCGAGGAACAATAAACTGTACAAAGCTAACCGGGAATCAACATCCTCTCGCCCTGGAACTGTCTCACAAATAGAAGAGGTCGATGACGCAGGCAAGTAGATACTCGACTGACTGTGTAAGAGCGTGACAGAAATCGCGTGTCTTAACGTCTTTAGACTAGATTTACATAGTATTATAGTCGACAATATTACATTCATTCAAAATCGTCTAAACAAACTTTAATTGACAATTGTAGTTTCATTGTCAAAAACTTCATTCATTGCTCCTATTTTTTCTTCTTAAATTATATTTTTTTTCCTTTTATGGGCAGCTATTTTTCATCGACTAGTTAAAATAGGGTTACTAAGATTTTCTATAATTATGGAAATGTAGTATATGTATGTATGCTTGAAAGCTATTAACCCACATCTGAGCCTCGTGTAGGTCTCTAAAACTTGATTAATCGATCTCATATTGAAGAAAATTTAATTTCAAAATTTATTATTAGAATTAATTCTTAACTATTATTAACTGTAAATAAAATTTTTTATCGTTGAAAAAATTGTAATCATTATATCTATTTGACGGTCAAATATAATTTTATTTCTGTAATAAAACTCTTCTATTTTCATGGACTATTATTGATTTATATAAAATTGAATTTAACATATAAAAATATTATTTTGTTGACAAAATAAGATCTAAAAAGAACCAAAAATTTTTATTTAAAATTAGATGAAAATTTAAGAATTGATTGAACACAAATTAAACAATTAAAATATTTTAGATTTCATAGAAGATGGTAAGGAGGACGATATGGCTGTGGAACAAGCTTGGGCAGAATTATCAGAAATTGGTAGGGAAAGAGAAAGATATTCAGAAATGCGAATGGCTACTGAAAGAGAGCTTGAATCTTGCAGAAAACGTGGAGCAACTTTAGAGGATGTGAGAACAATTTTTTTTTTCATAAACAAAAATTTATTATTTTTTATTAATAAATCCATTTTTTTTACAGGAACTACCGTCTCAGATTAATTCCGATGAAGAACGAGAATTATTAGCTTTAATGTTACGAGTTCATGAGCTTGAGGCTGATAAAATGATGCTCCAAAGTGAAAGATTAGTTAAGCAACATGAGCTCAGAAGACGTGAGCTAATGTTACTTAGATACGACAGACAAAGGCAAATTTCAGATGAAATTATTACTCGTCAAAGAAGAATAATGGAAGGTATGGTTTCAAAAAAAAATCAATAAATTATTTTTTTTACCCATAATTAATACAAAAATTAATAAAATATAAAATTTTAGATGGTCGATTGTCCCTTCCTCCTGATTTGCAAAATTTATACGCCATGTATCAACAGGAAATACATTCTGCAACTTATACAGATAATATGTCAGATTTATCAGCTGCTATAGAATATGTTGGAAAATTACCTCCAATCTCAAGTAGATTTAGTTTCGACAATTTTAATTCCGATTTAAGAGCAACCAGCAGGTAAAGTATTTTTTTTCCCCTAATAATTATGCCTAAATCTATCTTTAGAAGAATTAAAAAAAAATCATTAATGATTATGCGCGGAAACATGATTTTAATTCGAGCATTTTAAATTCACTTATAAAAAGAAAACTTTTTATTCTCACGTCATTATAATCGATAATGTGACTCTTTAGATGTGAAAGTATATTGTTTGAATGTATGCACAATCGATTACTATAATAATAACAACAAAAACAACAACAGTAAAGCTTCATTAATTTAAATTCTTTTTTTTTCATTATTTAATTTTTTTTTTAATTATTTTTTCAAACATCTAGTTATTATTGAAAGTATCCAAATTCGTATATATCTTTTTATGAAATTAGTTCCGCAGAATCGGATTGGGAACAATCGCCACTTCCACCAATTCAAGAACCACCGGAAATAGAGAAAGTAATGGGACCAATTGTCCATCCAATTTTGAGTCCTTCAGAATTATTTCCACCAATACCTCCTTCGAATAAAAGAAACCAGTAAGTAAGTTGTTTTGAAAATTTCTTCAAGTATTTTGTGTAAAGAAAACATGATTAATCAATTATTATTACAACTTAAATTGTGAGGTTGAATGAATATAATTTAAAATATTAGATGACATAATTATAAAAATGTTTAATATCTTTGACCTAGAGACAAAAGACTTCGACGCATAGTTAGCGATGAAAACCTAGTCTCTCCGAAATATGTCAAGGGCACAAGAATCAACGCATTAAGAAGATATGAGGGCCGTAAAATGCCAACCTAAATCTTGGAAAAATTACAAAAAATGACTGAATTGATAATGAGGTTCTAAAACCATCAACTAGTTGAAAAAAAAAATTCATTGAATTCCATGCACAGTGTGATGATCCAAAAATATGCTTTTGTACAAGTTGTAAGATTTTCTTTAAGTTAAGGCTTCTAAAAAATATTTATCAATTTTAAGTACTTTTACATTTTAAGAATGAGATCAAACACATATGAATTGTAAATAGTCTTCTTAATTAACATTTTCTTATATAAATAAATAAACAATTTATGTTACAATTAAACAAATTCTGTTAAAAGTTTTTTCTTTTACTTTCTTTTGGAAATTATACTCTACTTTTGTATATTTTATCATTAAAACAAAATTCATATTTAATTATTTAAATTACTTACATGCTTTCTTCTTTCTTGAGAACCTGATGAGTTTAATATCATTTTTTCCATAATTTTTTTTCTCTTCTTCCAATAGAAAAATGTTTGTCCAAAAAATTCTGGAAAGTATTCAACATACGAAAACTTCTTCTGATTTATCTTCTATTTTTAAAACTTTTTCTTGATATTTCCAATGTTATTCCTGAAAAAAATATATTTAAAGCTTTATTATTTTGAATAATTCAAAATATTTATTTTAAAAAATTATAATATTAAAATATATATGTAATAAAAATAAGCAGAAAATTAAAAATTAGTATTTAAAACGAAAAAAGATTAATATTATGCCTCGCATATAAAAAATATGTTTTTTTAAATCTATTTTTTAAGAAAAATAAATAAACTTATAATTCTTCTGTCATAACGCTTAAAAAAAATTTGTAAGTATTTTAATAAAGAGGTATTAAAAATTGTAAAATATCAATATGTACTGAGAATAATGATTTATTGATTAGATAATTATCGTTGTTTGTTTAAATTGACAAATAATGAGAAAATTGAATCGTTTAATGATAATAATTAAATACAAAAGTAACACAGTCTTTGAAACTCGAATTATCTTAAATATTCAGTGTCTTATAAAAGCATTTCACTCTCGAAGATTAAACATTTCTTTGTAATCCGTTGACCTAACGCAATCTTTAATTATTTTAAAAATACTTTTAATTGTAAAAATTCTTTTTGTTTTTTTTTTGTTTTAATTTTTTTTATAAATGAGATAAAAAAAACTCTTCTTTGATAATGACAAATTTTTATTATTACAGTTTCCTGTCTCTTAAAAGTTCTGTCATTAATCAATAAAGGATTTTGTCACATTTTTAAAAAAGAATAGTTGAACTACCAGGAGGGAAAACTTTAACTTGACGATCCAATAATTTGAAAAGATAAGATAGCTTCTCAGGCCAATTATATTTTGTTCTAATAGAATCCATTTTCCATCGAACATTCATTTTTCCAGAAACATCTTTAGCGAGACCTGTACTTAAAGGTTCAACGACAATAATCAATTGAGCAATATGTTTCAAGCCAACTGCAATAAGATCTGGTTGACAAGAATCAGGATCTGCTTTATAAGTATGTGTTAAAATACACATTGATAATGAATGTTCAAACTCAACAAAAGTTCTTATGTATCTAACAAAAAACCACACATCTCTGAGATTCATTTGAAGGTCAAAAAGATGACTCAAATCATCAATAATAACCATAACGGAATCTTGATTTTTCAATAATTCGTAAATTTGTTTTTTTAAAGGAACAATCAATTTATGTACAAGACTTGGTCCATGTTCCATAATATTCAGATTACTGATATCATCCTCAGTATTTTTTTCATTAAATTCCACATTTGCAGCATCCACAGAATCATGTCCAAGATCATGAATATTGTTCGCTATCAGTTTCATGGGTTCTAGAATTGAAACTTGACCTCTTTCTCGTAAAACATTTAAATTGTAACCCAATTTCATACCTATATTATGATAATGACCAAAAGTATTATGAAACAAAACAAGACATATTCCTTGGCCTTTTTCTAAAGAAGATGAAATAAATGAGTTTACAAGAAAGTTAGCATCGCTTCCATGTTGTTCTTCAATTAGCGTTAATTTTCCTCTCAAATCAACTCTATCAATTCCAAGAGCACTGCAAACAGCGTCCGTCATCGTGGAAATCTGAGATTACACAATTTATATAAAAAAAATTTAATAAAAAAGATACTTGGTATATTTTAACAGACTCCGCTTATTTATAAAGCATAAGGTTTATTTAAAAAAAAAAGAAAATTCTATACAGATGCAAAGAAAATTCTTATTCTGAAAAATCAGCAAAATAAAAACAAAAAATTCTAACCTCAAATTTTTTTTACACAAAAAATTCAATCTATTCATGATAAAAGAATAATACTTTTTTTTATGTAAAAATACATTTTTTTCAAATTCTGTACAAAAAGTATTGCATTTAAAAGGAAATATCAGAAAAATATGTCTAAGAAATTGAAAAAATATAAATTTTTATACACACCGCTAAACAGCTTTTTTCCGATGATTTATTATAAATTATACTTTCCAATGAAAATTCCTCCTTTCAAAAAATTTTAACAACAATACTGTTAATAATGTCAAGTATAAAAGTCGTTTAAGACATCAAAATCACTGCATTTAAAGAGTTTTTCAGAACATTGCGTGTTTAAGTGCACGTGCACTTTCAAGACGTCACAGTCAAGTGGCTCCATCTTTTATAAATGTGCTTTTGACGTTTTGTCAGAGGCTTGTTTTGTTATTGTTTACCTTGTTTATTATTTATAAATTGTATTTATTTGAATTATATATTTTTCCCCACTACTTTACAGTTAATTATAGTAATATATGTACAATAAATTTCGGAATAAATTTTACAAATGTATGGATATACGTACAAGAAATGAAACATAACCTATATAACAAATATTAGTGATTTTCGATTTACATACAATCAAACGGGAATCAAATAGTATATTTACTTTAAGGAGAAAAATAATTTACTTAACATTATTTCAAAGATAAAGAAAATGATTTTAAACTTCTGTTTAAACGGATGAAGCATTTGTACTTGAATTTTTAAAGAGTAAAAGACCACGTGTAAGTCAGCTGACGCTCAAGGGTGCGCTATCATGGATGCTCCGAAATCCCGATAAAAAGTCTTCTTCGTTGGCCATATCAACCATCCGTTAGTGTTTGAGATGGTGTCAAATCACGGAGTCATATCAGCGTTACCGTGAAATGTGAGTTAATTTAATCAATTTGAATTAAGTTTTTAAAATTGATTATTAATTTCATCTCTTTTACATTTTTACTAACATAGAGATCTCTTATTTACACTAAAATATTGTCTATTTTTTACCTTCAAGCATGAAAATTAATTAAAAATTAAATTATTCTGAAAATAAGTGCGTGCTTCACAAATTTAAAATTACTATTAATTATTTATTTTTTTTACCAATCAATAAAATTAACTTTGATATTATTTTCATTTTTTTTTACTATTTTTTATAGTTACACATTTATAGCAAAAAATTTTTAAAAATATGATTATTTTATTAATTTTTATTACTTCATATAAGTGAAAAAAATAGAATTAATTTACAATATAATTGAGTAACATATGCTAAGAGAAAACATATTTTTTTAGTTATTGTACTCGTAAATTTTTGGCATGATTTCATTTGCAGAACTGAAACATTTTTAGAAAATTTCGTAATTTGTGACATAACTTTTCATTTATCATCTCATCATAAAATATTTTTATATATCAATAATTTCTCATCACGCTCAATCAATAAATATTTTTTTTTCCGATACTATTTTCAGTTTTTTAATTTTATATTCTCTAATATTATTCTTATACAATTATAATTATTTTAATATATTATTCGTGTTCCAGTGTAAAAATAACAGCAATGGAATCCTCAAACAGATAATTCTAAATCAACAATTCATATCAGGACTTCAATATAATCTACAAAGGTATTTATTTTTTGTATTTATAAATCGCAATAAACTTGTAATAAAATGGATTATAAAAGTGTGTATGTAAAGTACAAAAGGGAATATTATATGTATATATATTCTTTTAAAAATTTGTTGTAAATTAAACTAATTGCTTTTTTACATTCCTGTTTTTAGTTTTCAAAATTTTTTAAACAAGAAATTGAAGATGTCTGATAAAACTAAAAAGCTATCTCGATGGTATTTTGGAGGTTTAGCATCGGCTGGTGCTGCATGTGTCACTCATCCTCTTGACTTGCTGAAGGTTTGTACAATTATTTTCAAAATTAAAATTAATATTCTACTTATGTAAGTAGGACGTTTAGACAAAGGATAAAAACAAATTAATCCATTAAAGACACATTAAGCTTTAGATCAACTGGCAGTGGTGATTATTTTCTCTATTTTTAGAAAAACTTTTCTATTTTGAATCTCATTTACTTATTTGCTATTCTAATAAGTGCCCTCTAATTTTCACAAATCAATAGGTATAAAAATAGAACGTCTACATTAAAGTTCAATAAATCAGAATTATATAAAACGCTTCTTCTTATAATTACTATATGGTTCGTAATATGTAAATATGAATGTTTTAATTACAATTTAATTTCAAAATACGACAATTTATTACAAATTTTAAATTTATTTTTTCTGTAAAGTTTAATACATTTTTCATTTCTAATTTTTTTTTTTCTTTGAAAAGTTTAAAAAATGTATTGAAAATTTATATTTAAATTTCGAAGAAATGTATAATAAAGATTTTCAAGAATAATAAATTCATTGAACCTTGCACAGTTAAGTTATTCAGAATAAATAAACATTTGCGTAAAGTCTCAAGGATTTTACGCGCGATACAAAAGTTAATCGGGGACAAAATAATTTTACATTCAGTTTATTTTTTATTCCCGTTAACAGGAATAAAAATTTTGCACTCTAATAATATAGTGACTAATATAATTATATCAAAACATGTACATAAACTGTTTATTTTATCTGTTTCTCTTCTTTCAACTTGAGCGTATTATGTAACACTTTATTGGCTTCACTTTATTCTTAATTCTTATCTTTTTTAAAGCCACAAAACTTTCTTTGTGTAATTTGTATTAAAATCAGTTGATGAAAATAAGTAAATTTTTTAAATATTCATAATTTTATTGTTACAAAAATTTATAATAGATTATTTATTTCTGTTATATTGTATGAAATTTATATATTTTAGGTTCTTCTACAAACACAACAAGAAGGGAAATTGTCAATGTCAAAGCTCGCTGTGCGAGTAGTAAAGAAACAAGGTGTTTTTGCATTATATAATGGACTTTCAGCTTCCCTTCTTCGACAATTAACATATTCAACTACTCGATTTGCATTTTACGAGGTAGAAGAAGTTAATAAAAATGATTGTAAATTTTTGTAATTTTTGTTTGTAAATAAATGTAATTATTTAATTTTTTAGATTGGAAAACAAAATTTTGAATCTCCAGGACATGATATGCCATTTTATCAAAAGTTGTTATTGGCTGGATTATCCGGTGCTGCAGGCGGTGTCGTTGGAACGCCCGGAGATTTAATTAATGTGCGAATGCAAAACGATGTGAAAATTGCACCTGAATTAAGAAGAAAGTAAGTGCAAAATAGATATTTGCCAATTAATTGAATATCAGTATTTTTAATTTTAAAATTAAATTATTTATCTGTAAAATTAATTAATTGAAATATCATTTTCTAGCTATAAACATGCTTTAGACGGTTTAATTCGCGTTTGGAGAGAAGAAGGATTTCTAAGACTTTTTAATGGTTGTTCAACTGCAACTGGAAGAGCTGTTCTTATGACAATTGGACAATTAAGTTTTTATGATCAAATTAAAATAATTCTCTTACAAACTAAGATGTTTGAAGATAATCCTACAACGCATTTTCTCTCTAGTTTATTCGCAGTAAGATATTTTTTTATATTTAAAACGTCTTTATTGAATGTTTTTTGAATTTTTTTTTTTTACTAGGGTGCTATTGCAACAACTTTAACGCAACCTTTAGATGTACTTAAAACACGAGCAATGAACGCTAAACCTGGAGAATTTAAGGTCAGTTAGAATTCATAAACAAAAATGTAAATTGAAATATTGAGAAAGTTATTGTATTTTTAATTTTTATAGAGTATGGGACAATTAATTGTATACACTGCCAAATTAGGTCCATTAGGTTTCTTCAAGGTGAGTTATTTTTGAAATAAATATTTATTTATTTTTTTTAATTCATTATGATAATTTAAAATTCCTTTCAGGGTTATGTACCTGCGTTTGTGCGTCTTGCACCACAAACAATATTAACATTTGTTTTCTTGGAGCAACTTAGGACAAATTTCGGTTTTTTGCCACAAAGCATAAAATCTACTTAAAAAAATCTAAAAAAATTGTTTCCTAAATTTACCGTCTTTTTTTTTAATTAATGACACAAAAAAATTTTTCATGGAAAAAAAATTATTATCCAGAAAATATGTATCAAAGTTTGATGTGACATTATCAAAGCATTTATTCTCCTAAATTTGGAGTAATATTCTAGATGAAATGAACGTTATAATTGTTAAATAATTAAATGGACGACTGCTATGTATGACAATATTGTTAAGGATAATCAGGAGGAATTCCACTCATATACATTCCATTAACGTATCTCTTTCTGAAGTACGTAGATATAAATATATTTACAGGCGGATATTTTTATTTCATTTATAGGTGAAAAAACAAAAATATTTTACGTTTATACAGCGACTGAATCTATATTTTTTTAATTGTATCTGTGTTCAAATAGTATTTATTACACGCACAAGTTTAATTCTATTATAGTTTACACCAGAAAAAAGAAGTCCGTCATATTTTTTGCTATTTTAATGTCTAAGGAAATGTTTAAAAAGATTAAGCTGTGCTTATATCTAATAGATGTTAATGTTTAAAAGAAACCTGCAGTACAAAAAAAAAATGTTAAAAGAAAGCTTATAACGAAATTGTTCATTGATACAAAATCAAGTAATTGCAATGATATTTTTATGTAATTATTAGTCCATTGCATTTATATTCAAATATATTATCACAATTTTGTTTGCATGAAATGATTTAATAGAAACTATTTACAAAAATATAAAAACTCAAGTAGGTATCAAATTCTTTATTTTTGCTGTCATAGAAAATATTTTTAACAGAAAGATTATTTGTAAAAAAGTACAATAAATGCTTTTATGTCAGTCTTGACGAAACTTAGTTTAAAAATAAAGAAATGTATTTTATTCAAAATGGATAAAAATATACTTGTTTCTTTTCATTGTTTGTGTTTAAAAAGTTTACATTTCTTTTTTGTATTAAAATCATTTTTTTTTTTCTTAAAATATTTAGTAATTATTTGAAAGGTAACCAAATTGACTTTGGTTGAGTATATTTTGTGTATAACATTTCATTAAATCGAGGATCATTTTCATCAGTTACAAGATCAATCCAATATTTGAAAAAATCGAGCATATAAACATCAAATTCTTCAAAAGCTGGTGAACATCCATGAGCAACAGCAGAATTATTGTAAACTTCATGGAATCCATCAAAAAGATTTTCAAAGCTTAAAAAATTAATGACTCCAGGTGGAATTCCACTTGTAATCATCATGTCACAAAATTCATTGATTGGAGCCAAAACTCCACCGTACATTACTATAGTTGAATTGCCAGCGATACAAGCGTTTATTATACGAAGAAACAGATCATTCGTATCCTTTCTACCAATTGCAATAACTCCTTTAGGATCTCTTATTGTCAAAACTTCAACACTACCATCTCTAATAATTGTTGATGAACTTCCATACAGAATTGGATTATCAAGTTGGGATCTTATTAATTTAGCAAGAGGTCTATTTCTGTAAAAATAAATTTTTAACGTTTATATTTAATTTAAAGTAATTATATAACTATTTGAAAAAAAATAAAAACAAACCCGTCTGCATAAATTCTGTCTGCAAATTTTTGTAAAATTGTTTTTCTCTTACTAAAAGGTGTTAAATGCCATTTTTCAAAAGCACGCTTCGCAGATTGTACACAACTATCTACGTCTTCTCTGAAATATTAGCAACAAATGAAAAATATTGAAAAAATGCGTCCATATTGTTTGATTACTTGATTATACATACTGTGACGCAGAAGCCCAAGAATTGCCTTTACAATCAGTCCAATATTTTCCATTTTTTGGTTCCTTCCATAAACCATCGTAAAAAAGATCAAATTTCTTTCCAGATCCTGTGAAAAATCCCGATTTTAATTCAAATCTACTAACGTTTGGACATTTAAGTTTAGTATCAGTTCGAAGCGCTACTCCTGGACCAAGTTCACCAAAAGAATTAATCCAAACAAGTGGAATCTAAAAAATAAAAATGATAAATAAAAACGAGTTTTAAAAATCTAATCTTTAAACTTAATATCTACCATCATATTCATAACATAAGATTTTGCAGACAAAACATTTTCACTCCAAATTGAAATTGCGTCCCAATGATTATCTTTGAATTTCGAAGAAATCTCTTCCTTAAATCGAAATATTGTCATAATTAATTCCAAATTTATTGAATGTTCAGTTTTCTTTTCTTTGTAGAGTTGGGCAAATTTTTTCTCAATTGCTTCTTGAATATAAACTGCAGTTATTTTCCAAGTACAAGGAGCTTCAGATATTGAAGTTAAAAAAGCAACAACTGTATCCAAATCGGAATCTGATAAAACAATAACAGCTGTATCTGAAAAATTAATTTTATATTAGCTAAATAGAAAATATTTTACTGATTATTTTTAGCTTATACTTACTCATTATTAGTGGAACTTTTTCAGTAATGTAATCTTGAACAATTGTTGGATAATATCTAAAATTATTATAATTTTAATACAAATATTTATATACTGTTATAATATATTATACTATTAATATATATATTTACCGTTTATCATGAAGAAGAGTATCACAAAAAGTCGGATTGTCAAACAATGCAAAACATAATGTTTTCCAAACACAAAACATGCCATTTGATGGCCACAATCCATATTCTTTTCCCGAAAAATGAATAAAAATTGTTAATTTAATTATACTTTTGTATATTTTTATTATAAAACTAAATTTTTTAAACTTACCAACATTTACATATCTCCAGAGTATATTTTCGCGAATAGCTCGTATAAAGAAAAAACAATAATCTCTCAAATTTGTTATTCTCGTTAGTGGATCTTCGGAAAAACATTTACTTGGTGGATTAAGAGATCTAAAATCTTTTTTATTATGTTCTATACACTCCACAATGTATTTAAGTCTGAAAAATCCAAACAACAATTTCAATAAATAGATATAGAATTATTAAAATTTTTTTGAATCTTACTCTTTGATAAAATCTTCTATTTGATTTCCTCGTGAGTCCCGATCTTTCATAGGGGGAATGATCTATGAAAATTTGAATTAAAAAATTAAAATATCATTAAATATTTAAAATTAGTTATAATATAAATGTAAATTACGTTTTCAAGTTTAACGGGAACTGTAGATTCTTTATTCATTTCGAGCTGTGACAATGATTTTAATAAATTATCTTTTATTTTACTTTCCATAATGTTTGTTCGTCACTTAAATCACTTTAAATTCTACTCCTATGATAATTCCGTGGATAATTCTAGGAGAGATAACATAACAGATAACTTTAAGTCTGTTCACAGGGAACGTAATACTCTGAAAGCTCTATTTGGGGAATCAGAGTTACCTATCCATCCCTGATTATAATGTGCAGAGGTTGCGCCTCTGTGGTAAAAATTTTGTATTAAAATATCGTCTGCTTGCTCTGTAGATACTATAACCTACCTGTTGGCAGTTAACTTAACTTAACCCTTTCTACGAAACAGGTAATGGTAGTGGGAGATTATTGCACCTGTCACCTGTCTGAGAATTGTACCTCTGTGGAAAGTAATTCAGTGTTTGCGCGGGCAACGAAATGATGTGTTCGTAGTGAAGAATATTCTCTTAAAAGAAACAGGATGAGAAAACAGTCCTGCGCATTCCAAGAAACAGTATGATTATCGTTGTCAACCAGAGTCGTTATAATTTTAACCACGAGGCACACAAAAGGGATAATAAAGATCCAAATAGAAATTTTACAGTATGAGAATAATTTTACAATTTTTTTCTTGTACAACTTCACATGAAGACCACATGGTCACATCTGATGCATCAACATTGAAGTCAATACACCTGCGATGATATAAAAGTGCATTTTTTTTCGCTATTTGAAAAGAAAAATTTATCAATTAAGGCACGTCAATGTCGATATGTTCGTCATGTACAAAAATTCAAAATTTCGTAGTCTATTTTTCAAAATTTTCGTCATCACTTTGATCGTTCTCACTTTCTACGCCTACTACTGGAAGACAATCGATCAAGTAGTGAACCAAAATGCAATTCTTCACAGTAATCGTGAGTATTTTCTTATTAATTTTTGTGCTATTCAAATGTTTAATAGTATAATAACAATAAAAATAATTAAAATTGTTTTACATTGACACTTTAATTTAATCATTTTGAATATTTTGGCTACATAACCTTTAAATTTCACTAAACAAAAATTTGCCAAGATTATAATATATTACTTTATCTATTATAAATATTTTACTGAAATCAGAGAAATGTTTTTTTCCATAGTTATTGATTTAGTTAATTTCATAGAAGAAATATTTTTGTATAGTTTCATTTTAAGTTTTGATAACGAATAGGGCACTTAAAATTTATTTAGATAAATAAAAAATTCTCTACAATATCTAGGCAGGATGTAAAATGATAAAAAAAATTAAATCAAAAAAATAGTTCAAATATAGAAATGTAATAACTTTTTCCAAGTAATAATTAAAGGACCTTGATTTTTCCAGTAATAATATCTATAATTGCGGTATAAGAAGTGTACTTTAGAATTTTTTTTTATAGTAAATTAAGTGCATGTTCTGTCTGGAAATATGAGAAAATTGTGAAATAATATAGAATATAAGGATTAATTTACTAAATAAGTTCAAAAACAACTCTAGATTTCTTTCTCAAAAGAAACGTGTAATAAAAACAAAAAAAAAATATCTACTTTAAAGTAATTTCAGTAAATTCTCGTTTAATTAAATGATTATAAAATAATTTCATAGTTTATGATGAGTTGATTATAAAAAACATAAAAAAGTATTTGTCACTCTTATCCTTAATAATCATATTAACCTACTAAATTCAGATTTATGACGATAAAATTCTAAATCGTTTATGATCGATGATTATAAAAAAAACTAACGTTTTGGTAACAATTTCTTCCCCAAATAATTTTTCTTTTAAAAATTATTTATCATCGACATTTTAAGTTTCCAATCATTCAGTTTTAATGGTGTTTTTTTACTTAAAGAATAATAGACTTAGTTCCGTTTATGAAATAGGCAAAAAAACGCTCATCGTTTTTTTTTTCAAGAATTCCATTGATCATATTAAATCATCTTCTTGATTGATATTTTTTTTATTAGCTAATGTCTTGAAAATTCTAAAGCAATAAAAATTTTATTTAATATTCACTATCTTATTCTTATTATTACTATTCAATAAAAAAAAAAAAAAAAAAAAAAATTCAATTTAAAAATACTTTTATTTGAAAAAAAATAGTTTTACCGAGAAATATATTTTTTAAAACTAAATAAATTTTTTTCTCATTATAATTTTTCTTTGGACGAGAATATGCCTTGTATGTAAAATGTTTTGGCATATTCTTTTCAGGTCCATATTCGTCTTTGGATGCATCATCCCACGAAAACAACCGGAACGATTCACACATTTCGGCAACATTTAAAAATTCTGTTTTAGAACCATTGACCCTAAATTCTAATGTATCGCACAATTCAGCAAATTTTTCAACCGCTATCACAATTGTCTCAACGTCCTCCAATTCACAAATTTCGTCTTCCTCGAATATATCAAAAATTCCTCAAACAAATAATAATGACAAAACGAAAAAAATACAAGATTTAATCAAAACAACAACGTCGAATAATAATAATTCATCAACTTTAAATTCTAATTTAATGCGTGCCATGTATAAATCAGGCCATTCAATATCAGTTCCTGAACAGTGTCCTAATTTTGGTAAAGATATGAATTTAGCAATAATCGTAATGTCAGCGCCGAAAAATAATAAATCCCGAACGGCAATAAGACAAACATGGGGATTTTATGGTCAAAGAAAAGACGTTAGCATACTTTTCATTATCGGTAAAACTTTCAATAATGAAATCGAAGAAAGTCTTCATCGAGAGCAAACATTGTACAGTGATATTATTCGCGGTCATTTTGTCGATTCTTATTCAAATTTAACATTCAAGACAGTATCAATTTTAGAATGGATCAATAATTATTGTCGTATGGTGAATTTTATTTTAAAGACTGATGACGATATGTTTATAAATGTGCCGCGTTTACTTTTATTTTTAAATAAACATCAAAAGGACAAAAATATAATATTTGGACGTTTAGCACGAAATTGGAAACCAGTTCGAAATAAGAAAAATAAATATTATGTTTCAATGGCACAATATAAGTCCCCGGTATTTCCTGATTTCACAACTGGTCCCGCTTATCTTTTTTCAAATGACACTGTACCGAATCTCTACGAGGGAGCGTTAAATCAAACATTTCTTCCGCTTGAGGATGTTTTTTTGACGGGAATTGTTGCTCAATCAGTTGGAATCAAACGTGTACAAGCACCGGGATTTCTAAATACTCGAATCTCTTATGCCCCTTGTAATGTGCAAAAAGGCATTAGCATTCATAAAGTTCAATATAGTGAACAATTTGATCTTTGGAAAAAATTGTTGGATGGCAAAAGTAATTGTAAATTATAACCACTCAGAAGGGTTCGTTCAGTGGACCCACATTTGAATCTTATTAGTTTTTTATCTCTTGACATGAAACACATTCTCAGTTGATATAACATTATCATTGTATAACTATGATGCATGATTATAATATCATTGAACGAAAATTTAAGTTTTACTTGAATTAAAAAAAAACGTAAAATCAATTTAATTTTCAATTAATATATTTTTTATCGTAACAAATGATTATTGTGAATTTAAAGATCTGATTGTATGTTAGGAAACCTTTAGATTGATTTAAATTTGACATTCATTCTTTTTATGTATTGTTCACGCAGTTCATACCTAAATGTTTATATTACGACGTCAGCACTGATAATGTTAATGTATTTCTATTATTCTTTTAACGCACAGACAATTATAGTTAATTATTTAATTAATTTTATCTATAGAAAAAAAAGAAAATAGAACATATTTTTTTCCCAAGAAAGAGAGAAAACTTTAATTGATTTTAAAAATGTGATTGGGGACAGTCTGACAATTGTTTGTTAAGAAAATAATTTAGACATAAAAAAAATTATTATTAGACTGTTACGTTACACCGTGATTACGGTTGAGTGCCTCGATAGAAAGAAACCATATTGTAATTATTAGGAAAAAAAAGTGCCATGCACTGAATTTAGTCATGGTTTTTAACTCTTTAATATTAATTTTATATTCATTTAAAAACTGATTCTCTGACTTTTATAATCAAAGTTGTAATGATATTTAATATTAATGAGTTAATAACGAAGTAGATGTTAAATGCAATATTTCTTTTGATTTGGCGCTTTAATGTACTTATTTTAATTATTGACTTTAATGTAATGTTAAAATTGAATCATAATGTTGATTTTTAATTTTTCTAGTTAGATATTTATCTGCTTTTTTATTATATTCTTTTTTGTTTTTGCTTTCCTCTATTTTAATTTTGACAAAGAAATATTCTTTCAAATAGAATCAATGAAAACTATATATAATAATAAATTAATTAACTTGAAGTTTTGAACGTTCAAAAAATAAACAATTTTATTAAATTTTACTATACAAAAAAAATAATATTGATTCATATGAACGTTCTGAACTTCAATAACACGAATAAGAGAATAAGAAAATGATTGGAGAAGATAAAAATGCGAATCAGGTGGCATAATTATAGATAAACAAAAATAATGATCGATATTTTAATATTTATGTTAAAATATTATTTTACTTATGAAAAAATGAAATTAGATATTCCTTTTTTGATAATATTTCATATTTCCCTAAATCCTCAGACTTTAGAAGTATTAAAAGTCATTGATTTTATAAAATGTGATTTATGGGACCAAAATTTTTTTTTTTTCAGTCTGACGATTTTACGAAATATTATATTTACTTTTGCGTATGAATTGTATTTCAATTTTTATTTATTTTTTTTTTGCAAATTAAATTACTTTTTAAACTAATACATATCAAATAAATTTTTTAAAAAAATATTAAATAAAACATTTCTATTATAAATTTAAAAACGAAATAATCACAAAAACTGCCTATTGGTTCAATTAAATTTTCTTCTCCAATAAAATATAAAAAGAAATCTCAAATTTTTCTTATAAATATATAATAAATGTAATCAAACAATTATTATCTAGTCAGTGCCTAGATAATTGTTACTCAAATTATCTTGTAAAACTTTGTATATCGCTCAATTGTACCTCCTATATGAAAAAGAAATAGTTACTTGAGTCGAATAATTAATATTGGAATTAAGTTTTAAGGTTTAACGAAAAAAAGAGAATATCATTACTTTAAAGAGTTGTGGTGCCATAAAATACGTAATCATATATATAAACGTGCGATATTTTTTTTAGTTTAAAAAAATTGTGTGTCCTTCATATTTTACGATGTTGAAGTCCACAATATTTATGTTCATTGATTAGTAGACAAATTGTTTTTTAAAATAAAAAATTATAAAAATGTTGATCTAAAAAAATTTTTTTAATACTTTTTAACCAATAAACATTGAAAGCAATATCTTTGAAACGAAAATTCATGATATATTTTAAAACATATATTTTAAACATTGAAAGCAATATCTTTGAAACGAAAATTCGTGATATATTTTAAAACATATATTTTAATCATTGAAAGCAATATCTTTGAAACGAAAATTCGTGATATATTTTATAATAAAAAATATTTCTTTAAAAATCGTTGATCATAAACATTGTGAACTTAAGCATTGATATATTTTAATGCTTCAAAATAATTATAAGGCTATATATTATATATATGCTTATTGTTGACTTTTCCAAACATAATAATAAGTTTTAAGAAATTGAATAAGTTTTTATGAAATTTACAATATTTTGCTCAAAGTTTAGTTTTATATTTACTTTTAAATGTATTATATTTTAATCGAAGGATCACGCTCTATTCGTTTAGAAATATGAATACATTTATCAAAATTTTGTAATTTCGTTTATTTCAGATTTTCGTTATTAAAAAATTTTGTTTAAAAAATTAATTTAAATCCTTTTAATTACAATTTAATGAAACTTAAATATTGTATATAATTTCTTGTTATGGCAAATAATATTAGATTTATTTTTTTAATTAGACTTTTTATCGAAATAAATTCACTACTTGATGTTTTCTTTTAATAATCAAATTATAATAGAAAATTATAATTTTCGTTTTGTTGTTGCGTGATCCTTTGAAACTTAATTATCGTTTAATATAAATAATTATACAATTTTTTAGAAATTAATTAAATTATTTAATAATGAACTCAATATGTACTTTATCAAAAGGCTCTCGAGTCTAGATTATAATTAATTGAGCGAATTTAATGAAAAAAAAAAAAAAAAACTATAATTGAATGCGAATGCCTTAGGTAAAATCGAAAACATAAAAATATCTCATTTTACATGAGATTTGTGTAAATATTGTAATATGTAAGCGTGAGTGATTGTTACATTGTAAATGAAATATTATAAAAATTGCAAATTCATATATTACGAATTTAGCTTTAATTTACAGTATTTTATTGCATAATACGTATAATTTTACTTAAAACAGTTGATATTACTTACAATAAATTATGCTAATGATTGCTCATGACAATGTCTTATAATTTATTTTTATATTCGTCGATTTTTAATTTTCAATTTAAGCTCAGACGACTGAAAATCACTAATTGTTTTTTAACACTTCAAAGAGAATATTGTAGAAAAAAAAGTGTTTTTGCTTGGAGTTATATGTTGTGGACTTGAATCTGCACACAATATTTGTTTGTAAATTTTAAATTGCACAATATACACATACATATATTATATACATTACAAAACTGATGAAATTGATTTGTTCCTTTCAATTTAAATTTGCAATTTAAATATTTATACATTCTTTATAATATATAGACAGTAAAATTTAATAGATATAAAATTCAATTTTTTTTTAAAAAGAAAATAAAAAAATTGAATTTAAAAATTTTTTTTTCGAAATTAACTGAATTCTATTTATGTTTTCTCAATAATTAAATTATTGGGTAATCGTATACATAGTATAGTTTAATGTTTTACGAAAGAATAAGTAATTAAATAAAAATATTTTAAATGAACTGAAAAAAAATTCAACGCCTCCAAATGTTCTATTCGCAATCTTTTAATGAATATAATTCACTTTGTGAATTAGGTAGATTAATAGGCTTCTTCCACAAATTACCGAGACGAATTATGAAATTCTCATGAAACATTTCTGTAATTACAAACGTAGAACGTATCCAAACATTTAATCGTCCCAATGATGATTTCCCTTCACGTTTTAAACTTTTATAATACTTCGTAATATTCGTATCGTCTTCACAAGAAAACATTTCAATTATTTTAGATGATTTTTTTTTTAAGTAGAAAATAAAAATTATTCTGAATTTAATTTTTATCTTTTGGTTTATTTTTCATTGATTTTTTAAAATCAATTTTATCGATGATACAATTTTATATAATTTAAAATAATTTTTCTGAGAGTAAAAAGATTGAAATGGTGTTTATTTCAATAATTGATAGATTAGTTATTAAATTGAATCAAGTTGCAATAAATAAATATGAGTTAATTTATATAGAGTGTAATAATTAAGAATAATCGAAAGATAAATAATTAAAATGTTGTTCATTGAAGGGAACACTTCATTAAGTGTAACCAAACGACTCATAAACAATATAATTAACATATTATGAGAATTCTGTGACATAAAGTTATCTCATACCGTTAGAAAAACGGTTTTTAATCGAAATCTGTATAAAAAGAAATCAAAAAAAAAAACTCTTATAAATCCTTTCCATTGAAATCATTAAGATTCCATTAAAATTTCTCAAATATTCAAAGACAAATTTCAAACACGCGAGCTCGAAGAAAGCAATTAAATATATAAAATAAAATTTTACGAAATAAAAATATAAAATGATAATAAAAAAAAATGACGGGCATGAACTTATGGAATGTGGACAAGGGTTCAATGATTGGAGAACATTAATTTAATATTAATATAAATCGGTTAATTGAATAATTATAATTTTTAATGTTTCAAAATACTCGTCGTCGCCGGAAGTAAAGTAACTAAAGTAAAAGCCAGTTTCATTTCTCATTCTCAATCGTATGCAAAAAAAATATATAATCCGGAATTTATAAAGTTGTTTTAATTATTACTTTTTATTTATTTATTTTATTTTAATGTGAAAAATTGCAAATTGCAAGTTAACTTTAATCTTAATCTGTAATTTATACATATACATACTATTCTCCGATAATCTCTTCAGGGAAGAAAGAATTTCTTGTAAATGCAGATGTTCTTAATAACTTAATCCTTAGAAGGAAACGGCAAATAAGGAAATAAAATAATAAATAAAATATTTTTTTCAGTTTATTGATTTTTTAAAATTTATTTTACCACAATTTATAATTTGGAAAATTTCTAATTTTAATTGAATTTCTTAAAATAAATACAATTTTTTTCTCTCCTTTAATTTTTTAAAAGCAAATTTCAATAATTTGACCTCTGATCTTTTATATGAACAAAAAATTCAATGAATACTTAATTAACTGACTTTTTAGTCTTTTTTTTTCTCCATTTTTTGGCTCTTAATCCTTAAATGAAATTAAAAGTGAATAAAAAAAACTCCGGGATTTGTCTTTAGTATTCTTTTCTTTTTTTTGATTTGTTGAAATGATTCATTAAAAATGGTTCGAACTTTTTAACTAAGAGAGCGTTTTTTTTAAATGATTCTGCATATGATAAAAAATTGTGAGGAATTTTAAGGTCGGGAAAAAATTTTTGATTTACTGTGAACTGTTTTTTTTTGTTCTCTTTTGCGGTTTTCGATTTCTCCTTGGTGAGTTTTAAAAGATGCCCTTGAACGATCATTTTATGAGACTCACGTAATTGCTATCATTATTTCGTTTTCAACTGCAAAAGAAGGATCATTAAATGTCGATATCAAAAACTATATAGTCGATTATGAAATAGAAGATTCACTATTTTTAATGTATGATTCACAATATATTTTCACTTTTCATTTCTTTTCTTTTTTTTTTTAATACCTATTTCGCAAATCAAAACTTTCCGAAAATGTTGCTTAATTCGTGAATTAATTTGGAAATTCATGAATTAATTTATGTTTATACAATATACATAATGGCCAGAAAAATGATTCTCTTCAGTCAAAAGCCTTCCAAACAACTTTCACTAGGATCTACAAACTCATTTCATAATAATTTGTATATACGCATCGAGAAAAAGGTGAGCCACAAAATTGATTTTTTCATTTAAATATTTAATTTACGGAAGTAGATTTTCTGATTAAAAATTTTTTATTATTAATTAAATTAATTTTAGTTATTGAGAAAAACTAAATTTTCATTGTAATATTATTTAATTTGGCTTTTTTATTCAAATATTAAAATTTTTATTACTTTTTCAGAATATCGACATATTTATGAAGATCAAAACAGGAACTGGAAATCTTTTTTTGAAACCTTGACGAGATACAATATAAATAAAAGAAATTAATATTGAGAACACCATAGCAATGTTAATTTTTGTTTTGGTGATTGCCTTTGATGAGAAAGGCCTTGATGATGGAACTTTTTCTCAATTGATATGCCGCTCTTTTTTCCCCATCTCAGTTATAGGTAAGCAAATTTATTCACGATGACAAAGTCTCTCCAATATTATATATCAATTGGAAAAAAATTTCATTTTACTTATTTCTTCACATAAAAGGAAAAATAATTTTATTTTACTATTTTTTTAAATAAAAAATCACAATTTTTTTTTAAATACGATAAAAAGGAAATGTTGTTTCGAAAAAATATTGATCTAACTTGAAAAGAATGCATAAATGAGTATAAGTAAAGATTATAACATATCTCTTGGAATATCTAAGCTATAAATTTAATACTAAAGTGTTGTTGTCTTCTAATTGCAATATATGAAAAGAAAAGGTAAATTTTGCAATTCATTTGTTAACCAGAAGCTGAATCAAGATTTTTATGACTATTCGCGCGGATGATTAGGATTTTTTGAAATAAAATTTTAAAAATAATTTGCGTTCATGATATAGAATTAATTTTAAATTTTCTAACATATATATATATATAATTGTTTAAGCGTTGACAAGGCTGTTTGGTGAGAAAAGTTTTCTCGTTGAAGATAGAAAGTTATGCTAAAATGTCGAAGTAATTCAATCATTTCGTCAAACAAGATTTTAATTGCTAGACATCCCCTATGAAAAAAAAAAAATTATTCACAAAATTTTAATGTGTAATTTTTTATCATTTTAAAAAAATTTCCTAAAAGTTTGAAATATTAAAATAGTTTTCTGAATATTTGTTATCAATAACATTTGATCAAATATTGAAGGGCATATATCGTCACAATATCCAAAATTAAAATTTAGATAGATAAGGTAAAATTTATTTCATTTATGCATATTTGTATAATTCTTTAAATCTAATTGTTTAAAATATAATTAAATATAAGAATGATTGTTATGAAAATGAACTTTTTTTGATAAGAGTTTGAATTATAAATTATAAATGAGCTTTCTCCTTGACTTTCCAATATTGTGTTAATCTTTTTTTTTCAATCTACTACAATCGCTAATTTTTTTTTTTTTTTTCATGAAAATTAACTAGATATATTATTTTTCAGAGACGCGATAAACCAATAATCTACGAAAGCAAGTGAATTCATATTTTCATGAGTCATCGACGCAAAGAAGAAGATAAAAATGATCTGCTGCTAAATTTTAAGTTTAGGAGAAGATCTTTCAATGTCCAGCGAACCGATACCAAAGTCTCTTGTGTCTCGAGCAATATTCTCGGCCCATATATTATGCAGGCATTTCAGCTCGACCGGTTCATCTTGTCGTTTTCTCTTTCTTATGCATGCACGCGAGAAGAAGATTCACTGAAAAATTGTTCGAGAAAAAAAAACAAGCAAAAAGAAAAGAATGGGAAAATTTTTTTTCTTTTTAATGAGAAGCTTGCTGTAAATAGAGAAATGTATCGTAAATTTAATTTTTTTTTTTTAGTACCTAGAACAAATTGTCATTTTATGATTATAATTTGTAAAATGTACACATTATTATAGAGAAGTAATAAAAATTGCAGTAAAGTAACAATAAAAATAGACTTGAAATTCCGTATTTATCATTAGTATTGCGTCATTAGACGGTGGGTTTCTATGGAGTTTTATCATGATGTTCTTCACCTGATTGGTTTAGTCGACAATAATTAGATTCTAATAAACTCTTTGTATATTGTGAATAAGCATTTCAAAGTGGCGTCTTAATCAATTATTATTGCAACATTCGAATTATTTAACACTTAAATATACGTAAGTAAGAATTGACGATTCTTGAAGAGGAAGTGCTTAGAAAAAAAAAGATTATCATTTAATGTACATATTTGTTCATTGATTGTTGACGTCATTCGCATAAATTAAAAAATTTAGAACACTATCAACAATTTTAATATTATTCTTTACAATGCGTAGTTTTTTTTAAATTAATATTTAATATTAAAGAACTATATTTTTTAAAAACCGAAGAAATAATAATCTTATTTATATTTGGAGAAATATGAATATAAATTTTAAATTTATTTAGTTATTATAATAACTTAAATATTAAATTATGATTTACAACTTCAATGTTATATTAATTAAACAAGAAATGACGTATTCATGATTATAACGATAATAATTGTTATTATATTAGTTATTTATTATATAAATTAAAATTATAACAAATTATTTAATCTTATTTTGTTAATTAGACGAATAACTATTTAAATAAAGTATTATAATATATAAACCAAAGGGAACAGTTTCATTATTCATTTATTAAAATCTAAAAAAAATTGCTACATATTTGAATTTAAAAACAAATTTTCGAATTTACCCGGCATTCGTTATGTCACGTGATAATCTGTTTTATTGACCATAGATAAAGTAAGTTGTTGTAGATGGCGAATTAATATTTTATCGCGCATGCTTGACCGTTTAACATTGTCAGTAGGGGGTGCAGGGGGTATTCGAATCAGTTATCAGTTATCATCAGTTCTCTAGTGGCCGGTTTAAGAAGGACTGCCACAAAAGAGATTTATAAAGGTGTTTTTTTACTATTTTAATTAATATAAACGAATTACGACATTACGGAGAATTTCTAAAAGCAACAATGTCATACTGCACTCGAATTTTACATGTGCAGGTAAGCATTTGTTTATTATTTATACATTTCTCCCTTATAAAATGTCACTTGACCCTCAATGACCCTTTAAAAATTCATACTGTAATTGGTTTTCTTTACTTAAAAAAATAGGGTTTCTTTATTAGTATATTCAATTTTTTATTTCACATCTTCAACCTCAAGGTATAAATATATATTTTTTGACTGTCCTCGATTTTGACGGAAATAACCACAATACGTAATGTCACTATTGGAAATTCTATAAGTGATAAAAATTGTTTAAATAACAAAGTTTAAATATTTTAACAGAGTCTAAGAAAACTAGTTTTTGAAGCTTTTGTCAAAATTTATAAGAAATTGATGTTATTATTTGTGTGTATTATAAAAAAAAATTCTAGAAACGTCAATCTGTCAAATTTCAGCTGTTTTTGACATTTTGTTACATATAACATATATTTTGAGACTATTTTATAATATGTAGTATATAAATAAGTTATGTATATGTGAAAATTTATTTAGAAGATCACGTTCCATTTTCGAGTTATATAATTAACGAGCAAACATATACACACAATCTTTTTCGAGGTTATGTTTTACTTTAATGCGCATGTCCCATAATAGACAAAGTAGTAATTTGCAATTATATATTCTATTTTCTTTTTCAGTTGTACTAAATAAAAAAAATATTATTTCTTTAAATTGTAAATATTTAAAAAAAATTACTTTTCATTAATATAATTAACCATATGTTTTCAGGTTAGATTAAAGCAATCGCGACACTTGGTGTAATAAAATATTATTCGTATCATATTGTATAAACATGCAAAGACAGCGTTGATATATTTATACAATATTTTATCATATCTTCACTTATTTAATCAGCAAATTTAATAGATCGTTGAACTTTGAAATATTTTTTTGCAAAATTATTAACACAGTATATTGTAGCTATTTTTAACAAGACTTGGTTTCATGTTCCCGATGCCAAAATGTATTTCTAGTTCTCTTATACTTATATATTCGTGTACATTAATAATAGATTATTGTTAAAAGTTCAATAAGCGATATTATTGTCAAGTTCAATAACTTGATCATCGCAAGACATGAATTCTATGAATAAAAAACATTGTATTTATCAGTTTTCAAAAAATTAAAATATTTTGCACTTTATTTTACGTATTTTTGATTGTTTGAATCGTTTTTATGACCTCATTTATTTAATGATCTTCATGACTTGCGTATTTTTTGTGTATATATAACTAGAGCGGATCATTACGTTTATTGCCTATAAAATTAATTGTAACTTTATGAGCTTTTAATTTATAGATGGTTAAACGTGTACTCTGTGCATTATGTAATAATTTGTATAAAATATTGTTTACAGAAATTAGGTGGATTCGCTAGTGAAATTCAGCAAAGATGTTTTCACGCGAGTCCTCTTACCTTTGCCGCTGCAAAGGTGGCAATGAGCAAATTCGACAGTTCCAGCTATCTTCCATACGAAAAGTTGGATTCAAATTTAAAAATAGTGAAAAAACGGTAACTAATATTTTTAGTTTGAAATTTTTCATTCCATACATGTGTTAATTAATTAATTTATTTATTTCTAGACTCAATCGACCATTGACATTATCAGAGAAGGTTCTCTATTCTCATATTGATGAACCTAATAAACAAGATATCGAACGAGGAACAAGTTATCTAAGATTGAGACCTGATCGTGTAGCTATGCAAGATGCGACTGCCCAAATGGCTATGCTCCAATTTATTAGTTCAGGTAAATAAATTAAATAGTCTTTTAATTCATTTGTGGAATTAAAAAAAATAATAATTTTAATTCAGGTTTACCGAAAGTTGCTGTTCCATCAACAATTCACTGCGATCATTTGATTGAAGCTCAAATTGGTGGCGATAAGGATTTAGCGCGTGCAAAGGAAGTAAACAAAGAAGTTTACAATTTCCTTAAGACAGCCGGTGCAAAATATGGTGTTGGATTCTGGAATCCTGGCTCTGGAATTATTCATCAAATTATTTTGGAAAATTATGCATTCCCAGGTCTTTTGATGATTGGTACGGATTCTCATACACCAAATGGTGGTGGTTTGGGAGGATTGTGCATTGGAGTTGGTGGTGCTGACGCTGTTGATGTGATGGCAAATATTCCATGGGAATTGAAATGTCCAAATGTTATTGGAGTTAAATTAACTGGTGAATTGAAAGGTTGGACAAGTCCAAAAGATATTATTCTCAAAGTCGCGGGTATATTGACTGTTAAGGGAGGAACTGGCGCTATTGTCGAATACTTTGGTCCAGGTGTTGATAGCATTAGTTGCACTGGAATGGCAACAATTTGTAATATGGGTGCTGAAATTGGTGCCACAACATCGGTATTCCCTTATAATGATCGTATGAAAACGTATTTGAAATCAACTGGAAGAAATGACATTGCCTCAGCAGCTGATAGTTTTAAATCGTCTCTATTGACTGCCGATCCAAATGCAAAATACGATCAGGTTATTGAGCTCGATCTCTCGACTCTTGAGCCTCATGTCAATGGACCCTTCACGCCTGATCTTGCTCATCCTATTTCTAAACTTGGTAATTTTTTTTTTAATGCTTTATTTATTTTTTATTTGACAATTGTTAATTTTTGATTTATCGTTATGAAATATAGGTTGAAAAATAAATGAATTTTTACGTTTCCCAGGTACGACTGCCAAGAAAGAGGGATGGCCCAATGAAATTAAAGTAGGTCTGATCGGTTCGTGCACCAATAGTTCTTATGAAGACATGGGTCGCTGTGCCAACATCGCGAAACAGGCGTTGAAACATGGATTAACGGCCAAGGCCGCTTTCAACGTGACACCAGGATCGGAGCAAATTCGCGCCACAATTGAACGTGACGGAATTGTAAGTAATGATAAATTTTCAAAACTGTCGGCTTGACATAAAAGTAATTATTTAATTTATTATAATATTAATTAATAAATAAAAATATTTATTAAGTGATATATTCTTTTTTCTATCGAATAGGCGGAAACTCTTCGTCAATTTGGTGGCACGGTTCTTGCAAACGCTTGTGGTCCCTGCATTGGTCAATGGGATCGTCAAGATATTAAAAAAGGTGACAAGAATACAATTGTCACTTCGTACAATCGTAATTTCACTGGTAGAAATGATGCAAATCCTGCAACTCATGCTTTTGTCACGAGTCCTGAACTTGTTACGGCTCTTTCAATTGCTGGACGATTGGACTTTAATCCAACGAAGGATCGATTAAAGGGCAAGGATGGAAAGGAATTTATGCTCGACAGTCCATACGGTAAATTTTTGAATTTTTTTTTTTTTATTGATAAATATATTTTTATGAATTTTTTATGTTTTAAAATAAATTTTTATAAAGGTGATGAATTACCAAGCCGTGGTTTCGATCCTGGAATGGACACATATGACTCACCACCTGCTGACGGCTCGAAAGTGAAGGTTGACGTTGATCCCAGCTCCCAGCGATTACAACTTCTCGCTCCCTTCGATAAATGGGATGGCAAAGATCTCACAGATTTGACGGTTCTCATCAAGGTTAAAGGAAAGTGTACCACTGATCATATTTCCGCAGCTGGTCCATGGCTCAAATATCGTGGTCACTTGGATAACATCTCCAATAATATGTTTATCGGGTAAGTCTTCTCGAAGATGACAGTTTTTTTTTTTTTTTACTGAAATATTTAATTATAATTTAAAATTGAATTACTTTTCACTTTTTGCTTTCTGTTCAATAATATTTTTTTTTTTAATTGTGCTTTTGCAGAGCTGTGAATTCGGAAAATGGAGAAATGAATAAAATTAAAAATCAATTGACCGGTGATTGGGGCGCAGTACCTGATGTAGCTCGACATTATAAGAAAAATGGAGTAAGATGGGTGGCAATTGGTGATGAAAATTACGGCGAAGGATCATCTCGGGAACATGCTGCATTGGAACCACGTCATCTTGGTGGACGTGCTGTTATTGTTAAGAGCTTTGCTCGAATTCACGAAACAAATTTGAAAAAACAAGGTGTCTTGCCTTTAACATTTGCAAATTCCAGCGATTACGATAAAATTCAACCCACTGATAAAATCAGTTTACTCGGTCTTAAGGATCTTACACCTGGAAAGGTAATTTTCAATTCTTTGCAAATTAAACAATTGTTTCTAAATTTGTTATTAATGAGCAATTAATAATATATTGATTATAATTATACATTGTGGTACAATTTTTTTTTATTTACAGTCCATACAAGCGGAAATCAAACACAAGGATGGAAAAGTTGACAAGATCACACTCAATCATACAATGAATGAACAACAAATCACGTGGTTCAAGGCTGGATCGGCATTGAATCGTATGAAAGAGATTGCAGGAGGAAAGTAAAGTAAGAAAGAAAAAATATTTTTTTTTTGATGAAGAGACAAAGTTTCGAAGATCAAAGCAGTGCAGATAGTTAAATTAATATGAATTAGAATAACCGGCACAACTAATTCGATGTTATGCAGTAGGTTGAGTTTCGATGAAAGAAAGAAACATTACACATATTCTTAGAATAGCACTGAAAGTAATTGCATAACATTTTATTCAATCCCTATGGATTGAAATCGTGATCGTGAAAAATAATTGTCCGAATTTGGAAGATTTTCATTAAAAAAAAAAATTGAAATGAAACTTTCTCTATTCGGAAAATTATTTTTAACAAAATTTCATTATAAAACGAGTGATTGTCGAATGATGAATTGCCTCGAGTCAAGTAATTTTATAAGTGAATTTAAATAGTATTGCTTATAATTATATAGACAATAATATAATAAATATTGTCTCCGGTTGACAATAGTGATTAATTTATCATTCTTAAAAATGAACGCAGCGGAGAATTTCATAAATTTTTTTAATCAGCGATTTTGTTTTTTGAAAATCGTGTACGCCCCGATTGCTGTTTATTGGAAAAACAAAATGAGAATTCTTCGCTGTACGTGATTGTCATCTTTTTTTTTCTTCTTTCTATGTATTTGAAAATCATGTACATATTGTTCACAATGCATTATAATATGATGAATAATAAATATTTATAAAACTCTGAAATTTACAATTTTAAAAAATATTCAGAGTATAATAAATATATTGCTTTGGAGTGACGATTAATTTCTATCATGTTGATTAATTTACTCCTAGTTAATTCAACTGGATTATTTACACGAATAAAGACCGTGTAAAAACGTTCATGATTCTTTTATTTTTTCACCTGTGATAATATTGTCTTATTTTATTCTAACTTTTTATCGTTATTACTTTTTAATAAAATATAAAAAATAGCATTAAAAAAATATTATTATACTATTTAATTTATTATTAATTAAAAAAGAAGTATTTCATTTCTTCAAATTCAAATGAATTTGAATATTTGTAGTTGAAGAGTGTTGCAGTTGAGTGGTTTCTATGACAATCGGCGTTTCCTTGACAACGTTGAGTGTTTGCAGTAAACACAACAAAAAAAAGAAAAGGGAATGCAATGGATATTAACTGTCCAGTGTGTCAGCAGTGCATTATTTTTGTATTATTATTATCAATTATTATAACATATAAATCATTTACAAGTTTTTAAATACCGTGATAATTGTTGTAATTTACTTAAGAAATTATTAATGTTAATTTTTTCCAAGTTTTCATGTCTATTGAAGGTGAATTTTTTATTACTGTAACCGGTGCCATAGAGTTTGCCGAGTTTTATGATGCTGATAATTTATTCTGCAAGTATGAATATCACTATGGTCCAGAATGGAGTGTCGTTGGTGTAAGAAATGTTCATTAATTTGATTATTTAATTTAATGAAAAAACTTTAAACAATATTTCTACATAATTTCCATTTTTTAAAATATATAAAACTGTTATTAAATAAATTAAAAAAAACATTTTCTATTTATTATTAAATAATAATATAATTATAAAAACTAAGAAAAATTTTTTTTTATATAATATTTTGTTTTTATATTAAATTAAATATTTTCTTTTTTGACAAAAACAAATATTAAGTATATTTTCTAAAAGAATTTTATTTTTATAAAGTCATTTATTTTAAGGGTGTCGAGGAGGGTTTAACTCAGATGAGTAAATGCAGTAATGATGCTCGACATTTAGCGGTTTGGAACTTCCCTTTGAATATTGCTTTCAAAAGCACAAATCCACATGGATGTAAGTTAATTATTTTTTTAATTAAAATAAAAATTATTTTCAAGTCAATTAATAAATTATAAAATGAAACAATATTATAATTTATATATAATTCTTTATACAAAAAAACCGGTAAATAAATTTTAATCTTAATTTATTAAATTAAAATAGAATTTGTATTTATTTAAAACAAAATAGCCTGCAATTAACAGTATCTAGACAAATGATAGAGTTTTTTTTTCATTAAAAAATAAAAATACCTCTGACTTGTTATTTCAATTGATTGACTGTAAAAAAATTGATTGCAGGGCCACAGTTAATTTTATCAATGTACGGATTGGATCTTTTTGGACATGATGTAACTAGGGGATATGGAGTCTGTCATGTACCGTTAACTGCAGGTCGACACGATAAAAAGTATTTGGATTTATTTTCACTTGTCGACTTTAATTGAATACTCTATTTTATTTTTCACACTTTTTTTTTTTTGATAGGGTGCCAATTTATGTTGTCGAATCATCTTCAGTTGCTCAGCAATTTTTGGCTTGGTTAACCGGAAGAAGACCCGAATTGATTGATCCTTCGATACTGGCTGGTGGTGATGGTCGTGAACGTAAGAGAACAATTTTTTTTTTTTTTTTTGCTTTCTGGAAAAGTTTATTTTACCGGGGAAAAAATAACGAAAATTAAAGAAATAAAAAGAAAAACAATTTTTCCATTTGATATATTAAAAAGCAGAAAATATAAGACATTGAAGTATTGAAAAATAAAAATGAAGTAAATTGAAAATAAAACATTAAATTCTTTTGAAAACTCTTTCATCGAATTTAGAGCTTGTGTTTATTAAATTAAGTTATTTTAGAAATGAGAAAAAAAATAATGATTTTCTCTTTTGTTAAAAATTTGAAAGTTCGGAACATTTTCTTTGTAAGTAGTTTAAGTGAAAAAATACATTTTTTTTTCTTTTAATTACAGTGACACGAATGAAAGTTCAAGGATCAGTTGCTGTTTCGTTTAACGTCATGTTAAAAGACTTTTTCAAATTGGGTTACGATAATGGTGAAAAGCGAACTAGGTAAAGAAAATTATTTGTCTTATTATATTAATAATCAATAAATCCAATTTCTTCCTATAAAACTTTTATCAATTTTCCTTTGTTATCTTCAAAAAAACAATAAAAAGGATTATTCATATAAATAAAAATTAATAAACTAGAAATTATGAAAACTTATACACATAAGGATATTCTTAACAAACTAACAATTGTAATAAAAAATTTATTATTACAAACTAAGTAATTTATTGAATGCAATATAACAATACAATTGATTTAGATAAAAGTGGTATCACAGTAGAGTTATAAAAATAACGTAACACTTTTATACCGCTTAATGAGAAAAAAATACATTGATTGTAATATAATTTCTATAAATTCACTGTTTATAAATTTATTTTTGCCAGGATTGCAAAAATATTTTTCATAATTATAGATATACGTGAAATATTTAAGTACGTTCATTAATTAGGACTTCATATAGCAATTTTTTGCGAATTTTTAAAAAGAAACTTTTTTTAAAATACCAAATACGTGCTTATATATCATCATCAGTTCGCAAAAAATAGTATAAAAAATAATTTAATACTATTAATAGTCGTCAACGACTTTTATTAATGAAAATCCAGTTTTCATTGTTTCTTTTTTTATATTTACAAATATCATATTGATAATCATAGTTAGCTATAACTATAATATCGCATACGTATACAATTAATTGATATAAAATTAAATATGGTATTTCGATCAAAAGCGTAATTGTGCCTTTGACGTCGTTAAATTTTAAATAACTAATAATCATAAAATGAAATATTTGCTAAATTATCCAAGTTGTCGTTAATCACGTACATTTGAAATTTAATATTTTATAAATGATCTTTTGAGCATATAATTATAAAATGATGTTAATTTAGCCTCTAGAAGTATATGTTATCCAAATATTCTGAAAATTCAAGTGACACAAACAATATTAATATATGGGAAATTTTAAATAATTATAAATCAATTTTTTAAAAGAATAATTAAAGTTTTTTAAATTTAATATTATTGATAAAATGTATTTACCATTTAATATGGGATGGGTGTACATTTTTTGTTTGATTCTTTATCAGTGTCATAAACAGTAGTAGTGCAATAAAGATCTAATAATTCAAGTGCTACTCCATTCGTCCATCCAAAGCCTGCTTGAAAATCATATTCTCCTCCTGTTCCGGTTTCTCCTATTGCATCTACATTGTACTGAAATAAAAGAATAAATGTTTGAAATTTATTAATTTTTTCCTAAATTTTTTATTATTTAACGAGAATTGATTCTTGATTTCATTAATTTTTTAATCAATATTTAAACTAATTTTCTTATTTTAATTAATTAACATTTTAAATTAATAAATTTAAAAAAAATTCTTTACATATGATTTTTTTTATCTTCTCATAACAATTTGTATTATTTATATAAATATTATTCTTTTCAAAACAAATTGTAGTGAACAAAAGTTTTAAAAAAACTTAAATCGAGATTTATAACGATCGTATAGAGACTTTTTACTTTAATCTCCGTTCTAGTTAGTTCCACAACTCTGCGAGGTCAATTTAGCAAAAAAAAACTCACTAATTCAAGAGGAAATATATCGCAGTTAATATTTCACTTTATTTTTATTTCCGTTTGTAAATAAGGCAAAAAATAAATATATCTTTGATTTTAGCAAAAAAATTTAAGTTTAGTTATTTTTGCGATAATTGAGCGAAATTATATTTTGTGTTTCTAGCTTCTTGCTTTTTTTTTTGGATAAAGTGCCATTTACAAAATTTAATTTACGCCAACTGGTGATGGTCATTTCTTCGTCTCGTCGTTCTAGAAAACGAATTAACCACCTCGTTTAAAAACGAACTTCCCGTTGGGTTGTAAAATTGTAAAACGAGTCATAGAGAAAAGTTCACGAGAGAGTGTCTCAAGTGCCATAGACAGTAAACATCGCAGTTTTTTTTTTTATTCCACTAGTTAGCTTTTATAAAACCACGTTTTATAACTTCAAAGTTATATATTTTACCATTTCATTTTATCATTTCATTAGAATTAAATTTCAAATTTTCAACAAGTTTTTCCATTTATTTTCGTATTATATATGAAATAATTTCTAAAAATAATTATGTTGTTTTTTAATTTCTCTTTTTGTAATTATTTCCCCTAATTTAATTTCTATTTTTAATAAAATAATTTTATGGTCCGTATAATTGAATGTAAAACCCATTAAAAAAATTTTTCTGAATAAACTAAAAATGCCTTTGAAAAGTGAAAAATGCTTGTATGACAGGCCTTATGAATTTTCTGTTTGCCAAGAAAGCACAGTTTAGATTGGAATGAAGCAACATGAGGAAATTGAGATAAAAATAAATTCTGAAATGCTTTCTAGAGAATCGTATGATTTAATGGTTTGCTTTCTGCGGAAGTAATTCCCTCGTGGATATCGTACACTGAAAGGACGCTATGACTTTTTATGATTTTATCCTCTTAAGATTTTCTTCACGAAGATATAATATAAGTGACCTTTTATTTATTTATTTTTTTTTCCACATTTTTATGATTCACATATTGAACGCTAATTTTCATGAAATTGGAATATTTTTTTTCAACATTAAAAGAAAAAGGAAAAAATTAATTTAATTAATTTCGATAGCGATTTGAGATGTTCATATATGTACCTATAACGCGATTTTGAAACATTGGTAAATTTATTTGCTTTTGACATTAATGGCAAGTCCAGATGGGTCTCATCATTATTTCAGATATCCATACTTGCTTTAACACATTCAGGTCTCGTTGAATGGTTGTTGAAAGCTACGACAATGTAGATCGTCATCACTATCATCTCAGTTGAGCAGACGTTCACAATAAGGGATGATGCACATTATATGCATTGTACAAGTCAGACATTTTGTCACAATAAACGATAATGACAGAGGGAAAAAAATAATTTTTTGAATTTTAAAGTTCCAATATTCTTCTTTAAAATTATAAAAATTAATTATTTAATATATTTGTTTTTAAAAAACAATTTTAAAAATTTCGAAACTAATAATATGCTTTCTCGTTTACGGGAATTTATTTCAATATATTATTTTGAAAAAATATATTTTCCTTAAAAACGAAACGATATTTTGTGAATAAATAAAAATGATTGGTAACTTAAGAGATTTTTTTTTTTTTTTTTTTCTTGAAGATGCTAAAGTACATTGAATTTCAAAGGACGCATATTGATCCGAGAGTCTCGTCTCGTATAATTCCAATGATTCTGCAACTGAAGTGATTGGAGAGATTGAAAAAGAGTAAGAACGAGAGTATATGTCTCTTGACAAGAAGAAAAATTCATGGGAGAGTGAAAAATAACATTTGATCTGTAACATTTCCCTCTATTTGTTATATCTTTTCTCAATATAAACCTTTTATCGTGTATTTTATCCGAAATTTGAAAAATCAAAAAGAATTCCTCAGTTTTTATTTTTAATATATTAGTAATTTTTTTTTACAATTACAATTATATTATTTATAAATAAAAAAAAATTTTTTAAATTATAATTTTTACGCACAAAGAAAAAAAAAAAAAAAATTTCACAGCAAACAAGTGACAATAATTAGTTTCTTTTTCAATACATTTTGTCAAGCTTCTTTTTTTTGCATCAATTAGAGCGTGAAAAATTATGACCTCAATTGAAAAAAAAGTGAAGAGCCCTTTTATTTATACGTCTTTTATTGTTTCGAGACGAAACTAGAGGAAAGAGTAAACTGAAAGATTGAAGGATGTAAAAAGAAGTCTCTCAGACAGAACGGAAGCTGACAAATTACCGGAACCTTTAGCGCCGGAAAAAAATGTCTTCTCTACTTAATTAATCGAATTTAATTCTCATCATTTTTCATTAAAATTTTATCTGTATTTTCATATGTGAATAAACTATTCTAACCACCATTTTTCATTTATTTAAATAAATATTTATTTATTAAATTTATTTAAATATTTTATTTTTAAAAGATTTTAATTTTTTTAACTTTGTGAATTTTTTGTTTTCCTCTATTATTAATTACGACCTGAAAATGTTTGCTTTGACTTATTAAACTTTGACAGTTGAGAAATTCGTTAATTAAACTAGAAGTATCAAAGTTTAATAGCGTAAAATAGTATCTCTTTGATTAAAACTTTCCTCAGTCTCTGATCTTATGATTAACGAAGATCTGATTTTAAATTAGGCGAATACTGATAATTATATACATACCTTTTCATACATTGCGTATCCTTTACAATTCAATTTATTCTCACAGGTTAAACCTTGATAATTAGATCTCAGCCATTTAGTAGCAATCATTTTAGATAAAGTAATTGCTGGTTTATAATCCGTTGCATGAAGTCCAATAATAATCATCGATTGTAAAGGTGCCCAGCCATTTGGTAAATCCCATTGTTCTCCAGTATTTTCCAGCGACGTAGGAATTCCACCTAATAATTTTAATATATATTTTTAATATTTAATTTTTTTCCAATGATTTTGCAGGTAGAAAAAAAGAATTCTTTCTTCTTTTATCGAGAAAAAACGGATTTTAATTAATTATAAATAAATAATTTTTATAAATTCTCAACTTTAATTTATTCTATTTCATAATTTATGTTGGAAATAAATTAATTCAATACATATTCTCTTTTTACAGGAATTTAGTTTCAATACAAAAGGGGAGCATATATATGTTAATAAATTTTACACTCTAGTAAGTTAGAAACTCAATTTTCGCATATTGTAAACTCTATGAAATCAATCTTCAAATTCATTTAAAACTCTCGATTCATGTACAATCTATTATGAATTTTCTATATAATATTCAAGTTGAATAGCTCCTCGAAAAAGACATATATTTATAAAAGATTTTGACAAAAAAAATATTTTATTAAAAGAAAATTGCTTTCCGTTATTGAGTTTATGATTTGCTTCTGCCATCGTCTCTTTGTAATTTTATTGGAAGCAAATATTGGAAATACAATAAAGTAATAACGGGAACAATTCTATTGCAAATATTTATCAAAAATAAATTTCAACGAGAAATTGTTGACAAAAAAAAAAAATATTCGAATATTAATATCAAAATTATTTGTTTCTAAAATCCATGCAAAATAAAATTCAAAAATTAAAATAAATATGTAAAAAAAAAATTTTAGTGTATTTTAATGTAAGAAATGATTTTAAATGTAAAAAACAGTGAATAATTTTAAATATAGAACTTCAATAAAATCAGATGCGCTATTTATCAAAAAGTTTATAGTAGTTCTTGAACAGTTTTATATAAAAGCTTGAGATCAATGTATCCGTTCTTTTAAAAAAGCTCGCACTACGTTCTGGACGAAAGGGGACACCTACTTGGAGCCATGTGATTTTTACGACCAACAGAAATGGTCCATTTAATGGAGAGTTAGAAAAAAAAAATGCGGGATTTATACAAATGCGTATTTTTGACGCTTACGATAAATTTACCAAAGGAATTAATTTTTATATAACTATTTAGAAAAAAGTTTCCACTAAAAAAAAATTGTAATAAATATAAAACAAAAATATCGTTAAAAGAAATTTTAATTAATTTTTCAAATAAAAAATAATAACTGATTAAAAGATATTCGGTTTCTATAAATAACAATTAAAATATTAACCAAAAAAATTTATAAATAAAATGAAATAAAATTGTTAATTCTTAATGGAATATCAAACTGATATCCCTTGTATATCAAACACATTCCCGTTCACCGACTATAATGATAATAATCTGCGAATCGTGAGAGGATCTCAAACAAAGGAATTACACTATTTCCTAGATTATATCACATATGCAGTCGTAAGTCTTTGTGGTTAATTGAAATGGGTTCTTGAGAATATGCATGGGTCAACAAATTAATAGTAGTGTCAACATATGCGAATGAAACTCATCCCGCTAAAATACGTTTCTGTTGCATGAAACTATAATAATGTTTAAAATTGCAATTTTTCTAGAAACGAGCAACGAAATTATAAAAAAGAATTATTAAATTAAAAATATTAAAAATATACTAACCTCGAAAGACAACATTCATTTTCTTAATATATTTCAATGCTTTTTTGGCATACATCATTTTATTTTTATTATTATAACTTCTTGTATACAATGGAGCGAAATTTGAAGCATAAAATTTATTTCTCTGCGTTTTGTGCAGCATATCGTAATCGTACCATATTCCATCTTTTTCATTCCACAATATTTTTTCTATTCCATCTCGATATCTCTCAGCTATTTTACTATAATAAAGTGATTTCTGTAAAATAGAAAATAAGTTTCAATTGAATTGAAATAAAGTATATATAAATAATGATATCAATTTTTCAATTGAAAATTGTTTATTAAATATACAATAATGAAAAAAGGACAGTTAAAAAAAAACTAACTAAAGGAAACAATGAAAGTAGATAAAAAATTGAATTTAACATTTAATTTGAACTGGATAAAATTGTAAATTTCTTTTCACGTAAATTAGAACAAGGTAATTGGTCAATAAAATAGCTCTCCGCATCTGTATTGGCTTTTATATGTTCACGCTAATTGGGGGATTAATTATTAATCAATTTTCAGAAATTTCCAAAATTAACGAACTATAGATATTAAAATTTTTCTTTATTTTATTTCAATATGGAAAACTAAAATTGATAGACAATTTTTTTTGTATCTCTATGATTATTTACGTTTGCTTTGGGATTTTATACGAATTTTCCAATACTCAAAGTGAATGTAAAAGTATATTGGTCTAATTTCGAAAATTGAAAAACAAGTCTGATGACAAATTACAGTCAAAACCTGATATTTGCATTTGTATGTAATGGATAAACGTAGTTTTATCATTACCACAATGAATGCGAGACATATATACCCTGAAGTGTATTTTCATTACCCAGCGATAGTGACTATTCTTCAGGGAATTGAATTAATCGAAAATCTAATATTCACATTTTTTTTTACAAAAATAATTTAACTTAAAAGCAAACGAATAAATAATATTTTATTTATTCGTTTGTTTGACTGCAAAAAATATAGTTTTTAAAAATATAGTTTTTTTTTAGTATTTTGAATAAAAAATTCAATTTTAATTTTTCTTAAGATGTTTGTCTTTATAAGGAGTTTATTGAATTTTTCCAGTTGCAGACAATTTGGATTAATTCCAAAAAAGTCAGGCTCAAACGTTTGTCGTCTCAATATCGTTTTTCATATAAATCGCGTAAATTTCAAAACTTTTGACATTGACTTACTTCCCAGCACAATGGAGTGCAAATAAAACTGTCCACAGGGAATTTGTGACTGAGTACAAAAACTTGTTAGTTATCTCAAACTCTAGAATTGTTTAATTATGTAAATGCAATAGAAATAGAGAACAAAAAAATTGTTGTGTTTAGATGATTTACTTTTAAAAATTATTATTATTTACTTTTGAATTTTGCTATCATTATCTAACACTATAGATTGAATACTTATTTATTAATATTAATAAAATTTTAATTTTACCCACCTGTAAATGTCCAAATAGAGTGTGAAATTTACTGAGAGTTTTGGCATTTCTTTCAAGAAATGAATTAAGATCAACGGGAATAATATATTTTGTGGTAATATTTAAAAGACTCGAGTCCTTAGATAGACCATTTTCTTCTTCGGAGATAAACCAACGAGATGAAAAGTCCCAACCAGATTCAGCGCCAGATTTTACATTTTTATAAAATTCAGTTTTTTCTGCATCTCTAGTAAACTTTTGGGCATTCTCATAATCGACTCTGTAGAAAAATAAAACGTTTTTATTAAAAATTCGAATTTTTTCATTCATTCTGAATTTCAATAAATTTATTAATAAAGTAATTAATTTTTTAAAAATATTTAAAGGAGATATCAATAATAAATACCGATAACTTTCTGGCCTTGGTCCATCGTGATTAACATAGTATCTGGCCATTTTGTAATATTCCCCCTTGTATTTAACATCGACGATTTTTCTTTGCTCCCAATAATCGAATTCTCTATCGAGGGATGGAAGAATTTTTTTAAGAAATTTATAGTCTTGAGTTACGTCAATGTAAGATTTAACCTGAAAAATAAATTTTATTTTAGACAATGTGATAATTTTTTTACAGGTCAATATTTTTTTTTTGCAAATTTTTCACAGTAAATATTTATTGCTTCTTTTGCTATCTGGTTTTATTAATCACATTAATGGAATATTTACGATAACAATATATACATTTTTCACGATTAGAATCATTGAAATGATTAGCCACTGAGATAAACTTACATTTTCTAAACAAATAAAATGATTAATTTACTTATATATATTTCCACGACAAATCTATTAGATTATAATTCAATAATAAATTAAGAAAATAAATTAAGAAATAAAAATTTATAAATAAAATTAAATAAATAAAAAAAATAATAATTGTCGTGAAACCCGACACTGAATTTTATAAGGAAACCCAAAAAGAATTCTCAAGCTCTTTGTACGAATGATATTCTAAAATTACCAACAATTGTTGAAACTTATATGTTACACTTTCTTTTTATTCCCAAGGCGCCACAAAAGCTCGATTCTGAGAAAATGATAATGTACCGCGGAGTTAGATACTTTCTAAGTTTTCATTTTTTGAAACTTCTTTTTCTCAATGTACGACTCGAGAATATTGTTATGAGGTTTGATGGTCACTCTTTTTCATAAAAAAAAAGTTACATGTCGCTTTGAATTGGAAATATGACATTGAATTTCATATATTTTTTGATCTTTATTTTCACAATAAAAATCCGCGTATTATATATATTTAAATTTATTATACTCGAGTTTTTCTTCTCCTTTTTTTCCTTTAGTGGCTGAAAATCTGCTATTTTTTGAAATTGAACAATTTTTTTTGTTCATTATGCATTTCTTTTTTAGAAAAAAAAAGATGAGACCGCCTTTATAAATTTGAAGAAAAACGAAACCACTTTGATGTGTTTTTCCTGTCGAATCGAATCGTTTTTAAGTACCTGTAGCCTTGAAATGAAAATTGAAGGGTGTCTCCCTTGAGTACAACTTCGTCATCCCCAAGTACATATTATACGATTGAGTTCTGAGATAACCAATCATTTATTTTCTCTTGGGGATTACAAAGAAAAAAAAAATTCCAAAGTCACAATAAATAAGGGATGAAACTGTTTTTATTTTCTTTTTAAAGCATTTTTTTCTAATATTCTTTGAATTTAAATTAGATTTTTAATAAATACATTTTTCTGACCTAACATTTAGTAATAAATTCATATATATATATATTAAATTAAAAATATTAATTATGTAAAATAATATTTGTTTTCGATATGAAATAAAAATTAATTAAATTATAAAAAAATAGAAAATATTAAAAAAAAAAAAGAATTACTTCTTACCATGTACGTTAGAAGTGGGGGTTGACTTCTCATCAAGTAATAAACTCTTCCACCATTTGGAATAAATCCAAATTCATTGACCAAGTCCACGAAATTTTGTATCATTCCTTTTGCAGTTTCATACATATTGCTGACAAGTAAACCCTTTATAATCCAATAACTGTCCCAGTAATAAAATTCTAATTCAAAATTTTACATACGATTAATTTTTCTTTAAATTTCTATATTCGAGAAGTTGTTTTAAATTTGTATAAAAACAAACCTTTGAAACGTCCTCCAGGAATAATGAATCCATTATTAGCGTAAATTAAACTATGTCTCTCTGGATGATTTTTTACTTGTATTTTAATTTTCCTTGCCAATGTTTTCCAAAGCATAGTTAAATTTTTTGCAAATTTTTGAAATTTTGGATCATCAATACGACTTAAAATGGGTGGATTTTCGGTCCAGTCTGAAGGAATCCATTCTTCCAATTCTGTTTGATTTGTAAAGGCGTCCTTAATAAATTCTTTTAATTGTTCTTCCGATGGTTTTCTTCTTGTTCTCGTCATCAATTCTTCGAATCTTTTTAAAAAAAGTAAATTAAAAATTTAATGATTAGAATAAATTAATTCATAAAATTGAAATTGTAAAAAAGGGTAAATTTGGCTTATATACTAACTTTTGCAGTGTCACTTTTGGCTCGTCTTTTTGAACTAAATCAACAAATGTTTTACTATCTTTAAAAATTTGTGTCAATTGAATGGTTTTCAATAATTCTCCTTTACAGTAAATTTCACTGAAATTAAAGAAACATTTTCAATAAAACAGAATTAATGTAATTATTTAATTGATGTTTGTAAGTAATTACAGAGTTCATTAAAATTCCATTCATTAAAAACCACAAAAAAACAAAATACAAACAATATAATAATAATTAAACAAGTTGTTTGTTAATTAAAAACTATAAAAACAAAAAACAAACAATATAATAATAATTAAACTTGTTGTTTGTTAATTAAAAACTATAAAAACAAAAACAGACGTATTTTATAACCTCAATTATTTTAATTGTTTGATAGATTCGATATTTGTAATATCGATTTCATAAACGACTTCGATAAATCGAATTATCGAGATCTTCCCGCTATTTTTTTCTTAGCCAATAGGCGTGCAGTTTGAACTGTCCGAGGTCAGTGACATCGCTCGCAGCGCGCCATTCTACGTTGGGTTCTCGAAGGGGTAAGTAGTGGTGTATAGTTAAAATTGAAACAATAAACCAAAGTTTGGTTTAATGATTCAAAATCTTTGTTCCCTTGTTAAAGAGAGGTATAATAATTATTAATCTAGCGATATTTGCAAGATTTATAACATAATTAATAAGATTTATTTGTCAGAATTATTTCTTCTATGCTGTTTAGTTCGGTTTTAGCTCACCAGTTGTAGCTATAGTAGAGTCACTATACTTTTATATCTGTATTATAATTTGCAAATTATGCTTCTCTTTTTAATAACAGTCCATCTAGAAATGAATAAAATATATACTTGTTATCGCATTGTGCGATGAATTTTAAAAATCGAGTACGTAGATAATAACAAGGGAGCTGCTACTATTTACCCTCTCATTGTAGACGCGAGTTTATCACCTTTGTTGGTACAAGGTGTTGATTGTCGGTTCTTAGAAGTAAAATTGTGTTTGTATGTTTTCAAAAAAAAAAGTGATTACTATCTCTGATCGGAAAATTGTCGATTATCGTGTACAAAATTAGTGTGTGTGAAATTTTGTTTTTGTGACGTGAAACCTAACCTTTAAATTAATGCCAGTTTTCGTACGCGTTGTGTGTTAATATTAAAAACTAAATTATCATTAATAAACCTTAATTTTTTTTTCTTGTGTTCAAAAGTCGTGTGCATTTAAATACGTGATTAAGTGAACCTGTGATTTTAAAAAAAAGTTTAAAGTCGCGTGTGTAATTTCTAAATATTGGTGATACAAGTGAAATATTCAAGTTGGTGTTTAATATCCGCGTGTGTTAATTAAAAAGACAGCAATAACTTTCGCGATTTAGTGATTTTTTTTTGTTATTGTAATGTTTGGAGAGGAGGCATTTGTTCCGGAGCAGCTCCAGGAGCAGGAGGAGGGGGAAATGCAGGAGATGGGTATAGCTGAGTGCAGTTCATGGTTAGTTCAATTTTATTTATTAATAAGATTTCTTTTTTTATCTGCGTAGATATTTTTAACGTTTACCTTTTTGAATACTGAGAAAAAATTTACCCGTTTATTAAAAACTGAAATGCGAGGTAAAAGCGAAACAACCATTCTTTATTAAAACTCAAATGAAAACAAACTATATTTTTAAAAAAAGAAATTTTTTTGTTGTCTTAGTTTTTTCTTCTTCAGTTTCACTTACAATTAGACGAACTAACAACTTGGGAAATTATTTTTAATTAACTCTCGACTTCTAATTGAATAATTCAAGTTTTTTAATGAGAAAAATATTGAATTATAATATTTTTACATATTATATTAAAAAAAGAATTTTTTTTTATGTCTCTAAAAAAATTATATTGTTTTGCAAAAAAAAAAAAAATATAATTAATAGGAATGACATGAAACTAATATTTCTAAGAATTTTCCTTTTTATAATTATTTATCGATTTAATATTGGATCAAAATGAACAAATAAATTCTTGAAGATAAAATATATCGTTCTTTTATCGTTGACTTTCATAGTTCCTTGGTCTCAATTGAATGCTTTTATGGGAGAAAAAGGTATACTTAAGTAGCTTTTTTGTTCCTAAGTCCTTTAGCCATGAATTTATTATTGAAAACTTCTATATAGTTTCGCATATTATATTAAACAAAAAACTTAGTCAAATGAGAAACAAGAGCATATTTTCAAATGATTAAATTGATAATGCGATTGTATTTTGATTTATTCAGGGTATAATTTTTTTTTCCAATATTTTCTAAACTTATTTTTATTCAATTATTTTAATAAAAGAAACCTTTTCATCTATATTTAAAATAGTGGCATATTGACATATAATTTATCTTCAGAAATATAAAAAAGTTTTTTCCAAAAGAATTTCTTAAGGATTTTAATAAAAGAAGGTTTTTGCATCTTGTAACTGTCATTTTTTCCCGTATTTCGAGTGTAATAATTGATTCATTGTCGATTCCGTTATGGTATTGGAAAGTTGGTTATTTCTTTGAATAATATTCTGATTGTATATTATTCTATACAATTTGTTTCAAACAAATTATTTAGCGTAAAGAAAATTCTCTGAAATCAAAGAAACATTTTTTTGTCTATTATACTTCTATTAATAGAAATTTTTTTAAATTGAAAGAAACTGTTTCTTTCAATATATTTTTCAATTGAAGAGGAGATTAAAAAATATTTAGTTTGTTTTTACAAACTTTAGTACACCTTTTATAAAGTTTACTTGACCTTAGACAAATTTCAACGATACAATGACATGACCTACAGAAAAAAAAAACCAATGCCACTGAAGATAAAGAAAATTTGTGTCATGGGTAACGATAATACTATTCTAATGCAAATAAACTGTGTTTTGTGCAATTTTTAAAGTAAATTTATTTTATAGATTAAATTTGATAACAAAAAAAAAGCAAACTTGCGCGCGACTTTATGATTAAAGTAGAGAAGGGAATTACCAAGTTTAATATACAAAGATGTTGAATTAATTATTTTATCATCCTCTTAAATAGAAACCGACAGACGCGATATTGAATAATTAAAAGATTTTTGTACATAGACCCCCCACCCCCGTCTTCTTATATTAAATATAATGTCTTGTATTTATTCCGGGAGAGTCAATTTAATTGCATTCTAAAGTAAATTTAATTAAATTCGCAAGTAAACCTTGACTTGTATATATTAAATCAAACATTTATGTTTGATCAAAGACAATTTCATTGTAAGTAATTAACTGATTCTTGTTGACAGTGCAAATAAATGATACCGTTGTTAAATGATAAATCGATATACAATTGTGCATAATTTTGTATTGATTACTATATCTATATTTATGGTTTGGTGAGATTATCATAACGCTATACACCAAGAGAAATGTTTTATTTGAACCAAATATAATATATTTGAGTTAAATAAACTATTTGTCTCACAGCCAACTATAGCCTATTTATTTGGTGTAAATAAAATTTTTTATTTAAATCAAATAAAAATTTATTTGAATCAAAGAAAAATTTGGCCAAATAAATATTTATTTGGCTGTGTGAGACAAATAAATAATTTCTCTGGGTGTAAGTACTTAACAATTTTTTTAGATTTTACTTTATAAAGAAACAAAATTTTTTTTTATTATCGTTTGTTGTTTTTTTCTAAATTGAATCGCAGGTGTGTTCAATGACCTATTTTTTAGATATACGTTAATTACTGCTTTATCTGGTTCATATTTTTTTTTATCGTATTACCACAAAGTATATTTGCATATAGTGAAAATAAACTTCCGCATAATATTGAAAAAGTAGATTTAAATAACTTTCAAAAATATTATCAAATTGAGATTCTTTATTGTAATTAGAAATCGAAAAAAAATATTTGTAATAAAAATACTAAGAGTTTGGAATTTTTTTTTACAAAGTAATGGAAAAATTAACTTTTTAAATATTACATTTTATGAATTGTTTTTATTATGTTTATAGTTTTTATCTGATTGGTGTTATCTGATATTAGATCGATTAAAAAAAATTTTTTTGACGTAATAGTTATGTTGAAAATTGTAATAAAAAAATTATCGAAAACATAAGATTATTATTGTGATATCAAATCATTTGTTTTATCAATTTAAGTAATTTAGTTTCGATAATTTTTATTTTATCTTATTACATCGATTATCGATAGAATGTCACTTTTTATAACGTCATCATAACGTCACCAAATAAAGCAGTATTAACGACTAAAGTTTTGAGAGTTCGTATGGTAATGGTTTTTGTTTGAAAGGAGAATGAAAAAAAAAAAAATATCAATTAGGATTCAAGAGAAATTTTTTCTTTAAATTTATTATTATTTCATCTTTGATAAATCAATTTGAATATAATTATTTTCTCATTTAATCAATAACAACCTATATGTAGATTATTTCCTGTTTTGAATTGCACACACAAAATGCATTGAAACTCGCCAAGTTAATTAAGGTCGTTAACTTAAGCAAAGCGACTCGTAACCTCGCAAATGATAGCTGACTAAGCATAACTGGTGTTTAATTTCCTTGGGGAAATTTTATAGGTGGATTCTGTGAGAATTACTTTTAGTCCTTAGTCAATCGAAAGAAAAGTTTCTTGAATTTAAGAGACATATGTTCACCTATGTCAGTCTGGAAAAAAAAGTACATTACACCCATGAGAATTAATGGGATTTTGAAGGAACTATTTTCTTAAAAGAACAATTTATTTATTTTAATTGAATTAAATTTCAATATATTCGAATCTAAATAATAAATAATTTAAAAAAATATTTGAATTTTAAAATAGATTAATTAATATAAAAAAATCAATGATCCCGTAAGATAATATTGAAAAATTCAGAAGAAACTTTCTTTCAATTGGGAAGGAATTTTTAGCGTTGAAAAATTAAATTTTATTAGGAGAAAAATATTATAGAACAAAATGTTATCTGAAAAAGAAGAATAAACGTTGATATATAAGTTATAAAAGAAAAGACTTCCGTCTTAGAAAAAGCGTTAAAAAAGTTAAGGGACATTTTAAGAGAGGGTCGAAGATAAAAATCAGTCGTAACGTATAAAGCTTAA